ATGCATCCCGATAAACACACAGATCCATACACATGTATGTACACAAATATCTATCAAGAGAATCACAGCGGAGGGCAGTTCGCGCGAGTGACGAAACCACATTAGTGTACAAAAGCAATAGAATAGAGTCAATGCAAAAGCAATTCTTACTGTATGCACTGACGAGAATGGCCTGAAACGATTTTAGACTGCCAAAATACGAACAGAGACTACTATTTCTGCAAATGATTACTCTTGAGGAGAGACGCGAGATGGCGCAAGTGTCTTTTATTTTCAAAATTATTCACGGAGACATAGCTGTCCACGAACACCAACGAACGAACCGTTCGTTCGTTTTCAATGTATATTTTGTTCGTTCGTTCGTTCGTAGAAAATGAATTGTTCGGATTGTTCGTTCGTATGTTCGTACGAACAACGAACAACGAACACGTTCGCTAGAGGCTTTCATGTAAGATTTTCTTTCCCGAATTCGACGAATAAACAACAGTATAACAAATGATGCAAATTTTTACAAATAATGCAAATTTTTACCGATTTCACTATTTCGTGCCAAAAATCCACCGATATTGGCCGATATGCGAAGTGTGTGTGTTCTGGAAGTGGGCTTTGGTGGATCCTCAGGATCATCAGAACCGCTTCAAGTTCTGGAAGTGGACCCTCAGGTACTGGTGTCAATGAACGTTCGTGTTCGGTTCGTTTTCGAGTTCGTTCGTTTAGTTGACGACCGAATACGAAAACGAACCCAATAATTTCAAAACGAACGAACTCGAACGAACCAATTAAAAATTAAACCGAACCTAAAACGAAATCGAACTCATAAATTCTAATAACGAACGAACCCGAACGAACTAAAAATTGATCCGTTTTACAAATACTCGTGTTCGATTCGAAGTGGGATTGACATTTTTTTTTGTCTTTTTATTTTAATTTCTTTTTAGTTTTTAGTTTTATATTGAGATAATGATAATGAATAAGTGTGAAAAATTTGAAAAAAAAAATTATTCAAATGGAAATAATTGAAATGAATGTGTTGTTTTCTGTGGAAGCATTCTGGCATTCAATTTTTGAGACACACACGATGTGTCATTACAATGTTTGTAATGATTACATCGGTCAACATTATAACAAATACACAGTCGTCTGAGTTTTGCATGTTTGTGTGAATGTGACAAATGTCAAAATATCAATAACATTGATTGCTATTTGATCAATACTCCATATCTCTGTGTGAGTGCAACATTTATCCCGGCAGTGTTTGCGACGCCATATTCTAATCGTTGGTTTCGTTGGTTCAGTTCACCTAAAGTGCAAAAAATGTCAATTTTTCTTGATAATTGTACCCAAACATCATTGTACAAATCAATTGATAATTCGACACAAACAATTGGCCGAACCGAAAACGAACGAACTAAATAAAACTTAATCCGAACCGAATACGAAAACGAACCCAATAATTTCAAAACGAACGAACTCGAACGAACCAATTAAAATTAAACGAACCGAAAACGAAAACGAAATTAATTTTTTTTAGCGAACGAACTCGAACCAGTATTTGGTGGTTCGTTGACACCCGTACCCTCAGGATGGGCCAAGGGATTGTCAAACCATGGTCTGGTCCATCCAGAGGATCCACCAAAGCCCACTTCCAGAACAATAAATTATCAAAAAATACCCGAATACAACCGATATTTTACAGATATGCCGATATTACGCCGATATTCCAACGATTTGCCAATATGCAACGATAATGCAAATTTCATCCAATAAAAATACATGAAAACCCCTAGCACATTCGTTCATTCGTAATTTATGGAAATTTATTTTCTTAATGTAAACAAATATTGCGATAATAAATGTAAATTGTAAAAACTTTAAATCAAATAAAAAAAGTAAAAAATAAGCAAAATGTTGACTCCAACAGGGAGCCACAACACCTAAGTGGTTCAATAGCCTAAAGTACATTTATTATCGCAATATTTGAATCTTTAAATTGGAAAATAGCGCTTACAAAACTATTGATATCAAATAAAAAACCTCCATCGAGGTGAAGAACGACTGACTTAACCAACATTTGAAGCACATTTTTGGTTTCGTCACTCGTTCTCCACCTCTATAGAAGTTTTTTAACGAAATTTGTAATTATTAAAACATAAGTTTGGTGACTATATTATATCTATTGAACATTTCGAGAGGAGAGTATGTTTTTATTCAGACATTACTAGCTATAAGCGCTGAATAACATACTCTCTTCTCGATGTATTCAATAGATATGGAAGATAATTTATTTTTATTTCTTCTAAAGGAAGCTGTTGAACAATTACGTGCTGTAGCATCTGGCCTAAATGGAAAACATGGTTTAGACACAATTGAAGCGTTAAAATCACAAGCGAGAGAACGGGAAAAGAAGGTAGGTCAATAGATATTTCTGAGTGTTAATGTATTCTATTCTTCGCGATCCTCAATAATACTATTAAGTCAGATTTTAAATAACGTTTTCCGGGGGAAAACCTATCGTGTTAACGGGAAAGTTAAAGTAGAAATTCACAATCCACAATCATGTATATTCGCTGGATTCACCTTTTTCATCTGTTTGCAAGAATAGTGGCAAAAGCCGACACCTGAGGCAAATTTTTCAAAATTTACCCCCGGGTAAATTTTAGGAGATTTACCGGTTTGACCCCCCTCTGAGAACTTTTTTGTCAGATTTGCAATATAAATGTATAAACAGTAGCAAAAAATACACTGATTTTGAAGTCAAACTTACACAGAAAAAAATCACAGTACACAGAAAAATTATCTACCAAATATTTTCGTTACAAAATTGATATAATAAATTTTGTGTTTCAAATTTTGGTTTCGTCACTCGCTCTTTACCTCGATAGAGGTTTTTTATTTGATATTCCATACAAAGAATAACGGTTAATTCATGGGCTGCGAGGGCGCCGCATGTGTTTGTTTTTCATCTTCATATCCAATTCACTTGGTTTTGTTCAATGCTCGCATATTCTTATAATGACTGTTTTTACTGAACTTTTTTTTGTACCCTCTATCTCTCCGCCACGTATCTTTTTTGGTGTCGTTCTCGATACGGCTCATTTAATTTGCTGACATTTGTTTCTCGGCGCTGGTTGTTCCCTTTATGGTATACATTGCAAGATTAACCCAAAAATTAAGCGAAAATGATGTCAAAGCTGTTTCAACTACACAAATATAACGTTGAAAACGAAAACGTGAAATATCGCACAAGCCATTATTATGTTTAACGCTTAACGGGAAATTGATCCTTAAGTTTCGATTGTGGTTTCCACATTTGAACATTTCAAATCATGACCCAACCAAAAATACGCCACGCATCTTCTATTGAGAAATACGAATGTGGCATGCTTAAAATAGATGTCACGGATATGAAATGATTCAAAAATTAATTAAACTAAACACATATTGCTTCTATATCTAAGCATATAGATATAGAAACACTTTTAACTCTTAATACAATCGATTGTGTGGTGCATGGTGCTACACTTGCAAATGTATATTTTACCACAACTACATATTATTTGTTGTCTAATTCTCCAGCGTGTTGTAATTATTACGAAGGAAACAATCGGACTGGGCCCCCGATAAATCTCATCGGAGCGTCGAGAAGCATTTTTCAACTCCTACGATTCACATCTATCTATAAAATGACCGAAACCAAATCAACGCTATCAGGAAAAATTGGCCCAAGCGAATTGAACAACAAGCCATAGATAAACGTATTTATTATCATCTGTATCAACAACTAACAGTTTAGCCTATTACTTACCACAATTTTGAACGCACTCACATCGATTCGAATCGAATCATTCCATACTGATTTTCTTTTGCACTTTACGTTCAGAAGTACAATAGAAGAATCGGTTCCAACCTGTTAAAAATAGCAATCTCCTGTCTACAAATAAATTCCAGTCGGTCGTGTTAAGTAAAGTAGAACAAAAAATATTAATGAATACAAGTTTTTTTTTTTAATTTCTTTATTCAATTTTCACCTTTAAACGTGTATATCGATTGATTTCAATTTTTTTGGGTGTGCTTGCGTTTTGCGCGTGACATCCACACATTAGTGATTTTCTTCCACATCTTTTTTTCTCTGTTTTTCATTTTGTATGAAGTCCTTAGTAAGAAATATAATATTTTATGTAATTTGTTTTCCTTAACTTAAATATTTTTTGTTTACTTCAAATTGTAATTTTTATTTCAATTCAATGTATTTACCACATAAGTAATATATGTACTTCAAATATATATATATACTCATAGATTTTTAATTCTGTCCTCGTTTCTCATCTGAAATAACTACCATTTTCTAACTTATTTCACTCATTTTGCTATGAATAATTTGGTACGGGCGGCGTCCGTAGGACGTTGTATATCGGTGCGACAACGATGCACTGATGGAGCACAAAAAGTACCTACAGATTCATGTGAAACTTAATTTCCATTTTTTTATCTTTTTTTTTTGTGTGTCAAAACAACAGTCATCAAAATCAACTTCCTGATATCAATGCCCTTCGGAATCGCTGCGCTCAAATTATTTTCTTTTTTTTTTTTTTTGTTTTCGTTTATCGATTAATTAAATTATTTGAAATTTAAATTTTTTGTTGGTTTTGTTTCTCTCTTCATGCAAAATAGGTTTTAATTCATGGATTTGACGTCAGTTTTCTTTTCGTGGATTTCTTGAACTAATGAATCGTTTGTCTTTCCACTTATTATAAATTGTTGTTCATCATTGATTTAATTTAAGTCTCTGAAATGAATTGACCTGAATTTTGCACATAAAATTCATTCAAACCATTTTCTTTTTAATTAAATAGTTTTTTTTTATTCATCTTTTGTTTCAAGTAAAATTTTCTGTAAATTTTTCTTTCACCATTTGTGGGTAGTTTTGTGTGTGTATGTGTTTATGTGTGTTTTCTGTTTCAGCGTTCTTTGTTAAGGAAATGAAAAAAAAAACGATCACAAATGTTTCTCTTATTTATTAAATATTTCTAGTTACAGTATGTGTACGTGTTTTCTCTTTTTTTATTTGACAAAAGAAGAAACATTTTGTATTCCTTCCATTCATTTAACATTTAAATAATATTAAAAACTATTTAACATTCAAAATACAAGTTTGCCAATGCTAGCAAAATGTTGTGTGTGTATGTGTGTTTGTGTCTGTGAGTGTGTATGTTTGTGTGTGGCATGCAATTCATCATGTAATTGATTGGATTTTTGGCGTAGTTTTGCGTTTTCTTTTCTTTTAAATTAGTAGTTTTTTTATTTATATTTTTATATAATGTAAGTGGTTGTTTTTGGATTGTGTATGCCAAATCTGGAGAAATCAAGTACATTATCATCAATTAAGCAATGGATATTACAATGGTTGCGTTTCAATTGTAAGAGTGAATGCAGTCAAAATAATGAGCTTTACGGTAAAGAAGCCCGAAAAGAAGAGATTGTTTTTGTTCATATTATCATTTTATCAACACGAAAATGAAAAATTCATTATTATTATTTCTTTTAGCTACATATTAATCATAATCATAAGTGTCAATTAGGCGTTATATTTTGCTCAAAAAAAGCACTCACCACTCGTAAAAGTATCATTTATCTGAATATGTTCAATGATATTTACTCCGGAATGAATGTTCATTGGCTCAGTCAATCGAGCACAATATTTTGATTCGATTCAATTTTGAGCCAAATATAACGATTAATTGCAATAATAATGATAGTTGATTTGTTTTGTTTTTTCCCGTATTTGCAGACAATGTCTGATGATGGAAAATTATGATTTTTTGTTATTATTTGTTTACCATTAATTGCGCTTTTTGTGTATGTATTTTGTTGTTGGCTTCGAATCTCTGTCTCAAATACTAATATTGTAACTTCTTTTGAAGTTTGGACAACAAAAAGAAAGTGAATAATTTAGTTATTTCGTTGAAATGTTATGCAATTACAATAGCTATTTTACTAACAAAAATGAAACAATGGAAGAAAAAGTGTTGAGATCATATACACCGTATTGTCCTTGGCAGACATATAAGGCGTAAATGGATTGGAAATTTGGATATTTATAATGGACAGGAAAAAAAATGTCAAAATTCATGCATATTTACTACGGTAATTTGCGTACAAATTTCGTTTTCTTTTGCTCATTAGCTGCAATTCTATCAAATATTTAAATCTTTTTGTTTTCTTTTTTCCAAAAGGTGGATCACAAAATCTACTAAAATGCGACACAAAAAAGACCTTTCTTTACAAAAATAATTCTCACACACAAACATTGAAATTTTGATAGCGGTGCATATTTTTTTGAATGCACCCGTTTCGGACACATCGCGGCAGAACAAAATAATTTTTTCACTATAATTTATGTACAAACACACGTGAAATGTTGATAATTCAAGAAGTTTCTGTTGATGGAAATTAATTTGGAGACAATACTCGAACGAATGATAAGAAGAGATCATCGATTCAATTGAATGCGAAGCCTGCGTGGACATGAGCAAGTTTTATCGGTAGTTTTTCATGTTTTTTTCTGATTTTTTTTTACTCAAGGATCAGTTTGGCTAATCTTATCAAATAGAACATTGGCTATATTCCTGTCAACATGTTAAATATTTTCAGTTGTTTTAAAATTAAACATTCTATTGAAATGTAATTAATGCCATTTTGTTTGCATATGTGTTGGGTTTCAGTGGATACGCAAATATTTTTGGAACTTTTGCAATTTTTTTCATGTATCTTAATTGTTAAGTGTGTGAGTGTGTGTGTGTGTGTGTGTGTGTGTGTGTGTGTGTTTCCTTGTCATTTTCTTTTTAATTACAAGTTTCAAGTTGGTTCTATATATTCATCCACTTTGTCATTTTTCTATTTTATTATATATTTTTTTACTTCTGTAATGAATTCTAGTTCCTTTTTCACATGACATTTTTTTAAATTTTTGTTTTTTTCTTCTTCGCTGTTTTACAAAATTGTTGCTTCTTTATATCGTTAATCAACATTTCAAATTTTTCGTTTTATTTTTATTTTTTTTTGCATCAATTCGTGTCTTTTTTGACTATTCCATTTCTCCTTTTTTTCGCTTTTTCACTGTTTTTTATAATTTTCTTCCGTTAAATTTCTATGTGTTTAATATGCAGTTTTAGTCGCTTTTGTGCCGTGAGGATGGAAATAGGAATGCTATTGCATAAAGTAATCTGGGGGATCAGAATCTTTCTCAAACCTTTTCGCCTCTTCCTGCATGCTTTCCTTTATTTTGAGGATAGCTGCCGATTCATTTTGGTCCTGAAATTGTGGGTTGTGTCGGATGAAATCAAATAGCGAGACAGACATACACAATTGAAAGAGATGAAAATCACAGAGCAGATGGAAAAAGAAACAGAGAAAGAGAGATAAACAGATTAGAATATTTTTTTAAATAATTTTTGTTGAAGTTTTTTGTTGTTTATTTTGTCTTACAAATTAAAAAAAATAATAATAGAGAAGTAGAAAAAACTCGATAATTTCACTTTGATAAGTGTTCAACAAATGCGAAACCGAAAAACAAAGAAAACAAAATTAAATATATAAAATAGAAAACACATATTTTCATTATTACGGATTATTATTGATTATTGATGCAGAATTTTTTTAGAGTGAATTTATGGTGTATGAAAATATATTAAATGTGTTGAATAAATATAAAATCTTTCGAACAATAGACACTTTTATTATCTGTTCAATGTCAAATGGATTACATTTAATGACTTTGTGCAAATAAAAAATACGGCACATGCTTTTCAATTTCATATTTGCATTGATCATGCTCGCAATGATGGATTCACAAAATTTAACCAAAAAAAAAAAAATGCGGAACTAAAAATTTCATTATAATCTCTATTATTATTAAGATCAATATCAAAGTTTTGATTATAGCAGAGATTTTTAGATCCATTTAATTTACATTTTTGTATTTTTGTCAATCGAAAGATAAAGAACGAGTGTAATCCATATCATATCATTCATTAGCATACTGGCCAATGCAACGTTTTCTATTGTCCAAATATTAAATTATTTAAATTACACACTGAACACCTGAAGGGCAAGGAAAATGAAACGATATCGATCGTTGAACTTTGTTGTTTGCTTGTTTTAATTGTTCTGCTTTCGGTTTTGTTCATATAACAAATAGCAAGAGAAACAGAGATAGAAAGAGAGAGCAAAGAATAAGTTTTATAGACTTTTTTTGTATATATTTTTTTCTTTTCAAGTCAGATCAAACTAAATCGAGATGAATAGTCGCATATGCGAATTAAAGTTATGTTACGCCTGAATCAAGCACACAAACCAGACCTCAAAAACGTCAAAACGAACAAAAAATGAACCCATTTTTTATTATTATCATTTGTATTTTTTTTTTCGAAATTATTTGATTAAATATTGATATTTTGTTGCAAATTTTGGCTCATTTATTACGTGAATTTAGTCAGTACGTTAAAAGAAGGTAAGTAGAATGTGAGAGACCCATCAATATTCATTGAGAGAGGCCCGTTGTTGTCGAAAATGTGTGATTCATTTTGCCTTTTGTCTAAATTTTCGAGAAATTAGCAGTTTTAATTCCTAATTTACCTTCAATTTTGAAATTTGGTTCTTCTTGTCCGGGCGATAAAGAACGAGGTAAATTTGTTTAATTTTTCTGCTTCTATCTCACACATCGAACAGCGATTCCATTAAATTTTTTGGTGGCTATACAGTCCGAATTTCTCGAGATCATTGAGAATGGCCGCTTTAGCAGAATTGAAGCTCAGACAAACATCGACACAAACTCCAGAGAAAAGTGTAACAACTTTTTTATATTTGTTTTTTTTTGTGTTGCTTTTTGTTTTGCAATCGGTGATTACGTGGTTTTTTTAAGCTCAAAATGTCAATTTGAATTTCGTTCGGTTCACAAACACATTTCTCTTCAATAATATAATGATCCAAACGTAACACGATAAAATGCAAGAATGAAAGATCTGACTGAAAACGAACAAACTTTCGAAATGTACATGTATCTCACAGTCGCTAGAATTTAAGTGATTTTTGGGTGCCTTTTTCCATTTTTTTTAACTTGTGTTTCTCATTTATGTTAGGTTCTGTGATTCTTTTTCCGTGTATGTGTGATAATGTGTGTGTATGTAAGTGTGCAAATCAGAACATTTAGCCCACCTTGTATGGCTCTTTGCTCTTCGATCTAACCCAAAAATATTTATAGGAACTCGGGCGGTTCTCAAAAAAAAAATATATATTATTTTTTCAAAAATCGATATTTCAATTATTTAATGTTTAAACATTAAATTTACAAAGAAAATTCTAATAAATAATTCGATATATCAATTGAGTTAAATCGAAATGGCAAAGGCTTAAGCATAGAGCACTGGTGCAAATTGTATTTCGTTTTTGTTTACGTCGCTGTTAATGCCAAAAACAAATCGAACACGAAATTGAAAGAATATACATGTAAAAAGGAATTAAAATAAAAAATATATCGTATTTATTCCAAAAATTACAAATTATAAATTTATAGTACATGATTTTGTTTTTGTTGTGTTATCGTTATCATTGTGTCAAAGAAAAAAAAACCGTTCTAATTTATTAAAATCGTGTATTTTATGGTTCGTCGTGTGCGATTTTCTGGGTCTTGTGCACACGATGAACGTTGCAATTTAAATTTAAACATAAACTAAGAAATGAAACTTACTACCTGAACTTAAATAAAGAATACAGCATAATTTAAACAACCAGACAAAAAAACGAATCTAATGTAAAACTTTAAGTTTCTTTTTATAAATTTACAGCATAAGAGCAAAAAGAATTAAGAAAAAAAAAACAAAACAAAAGAAAAAGTATTTCATTTCAAATTTCTCTTCATTTTTTTCTCTCTCTTTCCGATAATTTTGAGATTTTCATTTGTGGCTTTAAATTCTTTTGATTTTAATTTAACGATCTTTCCAGAAAAAAAAAGATTTCCCCAAAAAATATGATAATTGTTTCGAAGCACACACAAAACAATACATACCAGGAAAAACGAACCGATTATTATAAATAATACTTCTTCTTTCATTTCAACAGAACAAATCGTGTATTTGCATTGATCTATCAAATTTGTGAACTACCGAATTTAGTTTTGCAATTTTTTGTTTTGTTTTGGTAATTGGATGTCAATAATGAAAGTACAAAAAAAAGAAACATCACCTGGAAAGGTAAGAAAACGCAGTTATCCAAATAGAGAAATGTGATGTCACCAGCAATATTCCAACAAAATCAACCCTGTCAGCCCTCAACCCGTATGAGAGGAGAGAATGGGCATTCAGTGCCGTGAATTCAAAATGGAAACTTCAATACAAGAAACAACCAATGCGGACTATGGATATATCGTCGTCAATTTGAAACAAGTTCATTGCAGGGGAGCGACGTGAAACGTACGATTAAAAATCTGACATCAGAGCCAGTCCCTTTTAACTAAAAATGGTACAAATTCGCAATAGATGGCGCTTATAAATCGACAAACACACTTTCCTTTTTTTAGAAGAAAAATGAAAAATATTGAAATATTTTCAAAATATTTAATTTAAATAAATTTAAATGGAGTGCCTTCTAGTGCTTCTCTGATTATAATGGTTTTAAAGTACTATAGAAAATATCAAATGTGATATTTGTTGTTTCGAAATGTCAAAAATTTTTGTATTGGTTTATTTTCAAAATGCACAGAAGTTTTCAAGAAGAAATTAGTTATAATTATAATTTTATAAAATATTTTAAAGCACTCAATTTATTTTATCATATATGATATTTCAGTATAGGTCGACAGTCAGTATAGGTCGACAAGATACACACGCAACGGTGTTGACTATAGTGCACATCATGTATATCGTATAGTGTTCACTACACTCGACACTATTGTGTATCATGCGCAATATAGCTTGACAGACAACATAAGACATGTGCACAAAGGCACACTGAGATATCATATATGATAAAATAAATTGAGTGCATAAAATATTTTATAAAATTATAAATCTAAACAAATTTCTTCCCGAAAAATTCTGTGCATTTTGACAATCAACCAATACAACATTTTCGACATATCGAAACAACAAATATCACATTTGATATTTTCTATAATTCATTAAAAACAATTGAAAACAAAAGAAGCACTAGAATATTTCAATATTTTTCATTTTTCTTCTAATAAAATGTAAGCGTGTTTGTCGATTTATAAGCGCCATCTATTGCGAATTTGTACCATTTTTAGTTATGAGGGACTGGCGCTGATGTCAAGTTTTTTCACGTCGCTCTCATGGTTCATTGAAATAAATTGAGAATTTGAAGAAATTGTTTATGTTGTGTTTTTTTTTATTGTTAAATTGCAAACAAGTCATTTTGGGCACGGTGCTTAATTTGATGCGGTGCGTTTGTGTTTGTGTTTGTGTGTGTATGTTGTTTGTGTGGTTTTGGATGATATCAATGTTTAGTTTAATATATTCCAAAAATTTGATCTTCAATTCGATTGGATGCTTTTTCTTTCGTTTTCACATCAATTTGTTTTTTTTTTTTTTTTTTTTTTTGTAAAACTGACTTATATACGTCTTCGTAAATATGCTTATTTATTTCATTTTTCGACATTTTCGAAATCAGCTCTAAATTTTTGCGTTATTTTTTCTTTTTCTAAAAAATGAATCTAAACAATTTTTTCGATTTTGTCTGTTTGATTTGCCCTTTTTTATACAAAAAGAATTTTAGAATATTGTGCGCTCCATTTTCATTTCACTTGAACATTTGTAATTTGTTTGGCTTGTACTGTCTCTTTGTTCATAATTCAAATAACTCTCATCTTTTTGTTTTTTTTTTTTTTCGTTTAAGTAATTTTGGCTGTAATGCTTTCTAACTGATTTCTACTTTCTTTTCTCAAGGAGGGATTGTTGTTTTTCGATTCGTGTGAGTTTGTGAGTATGTGTGTGCGAAATTCAGCAATAAAACTATGAAAAAGAAAAAATTGTTGGAAGACATAAGTTGGTTTTAGTAAATAAAAGTTATCGAAAAATCCAGATTTTTTTTTATGTGTTTGCTTCATTTGTTTTGCGAAAATTGATCAAGCTACAGCAAAAAAAAAATATTTTTTATGAGCATTGATTAAAAAAAAAGATAGAATTTTCAACAGAAAAAAGAGATGTATGTAGATGTTGGCTTTTGGCTAAGCTTTTTGGTTTGGTGTATTTTTGAATTTGTCGATTTCAAATTGGATTTGAATATTATCATTTGGACCGATTTGAACAAACAAATTGTTTGGATTTATGGTTATTTTTGTAGTTGTTTTATTTTTACTTGGAAACTTTGGAAAGAAAATTATGACGTTCTTGTTCATCAACAGAGCGGAAATTCTATTTATGTTTAAGATGTTGCAAGTATTTTTGCCTGTGGCAAAACAAATTAAATAAGCAAAATCAATCACAAACTTTATGTTCTAATTTAGAGAATAAAAGCGAATTTCAAATCTAAGCCAGATTTTGTTAAATATTAGATCAATATGTTATTATAGAAAATTGCAGTGAAAAGTCCAGTGAACACACTTCAGCAACAGATATCGGTAACACAGTTATGATTTCGAAACATAATGATCATAATTTATTTGCGTTAAATCGAGAAAGAATAAAAAATGAAATTAAAATCGAATTCAATCATGATTTTATTCAGTTTGCCGTGTCTCATTACTATTTAGTTCAATCGTAAATAATGTTATATTTTGTCTGCGTTACCGATTTCATACATGCATGATCACTTTGCATTAACGTTAATCAAAGAATTCAAGCAACATTGGCCGTCATTTTTTTCTTTTTCTTTTTATAAATACGAAAAAGGCGTTGACATTTTATATCGAAATAAATTTTCATTCGAATAATTTAGGTTTCGTTCGCAAAAAGCACCGTTAAATCAGTTTAGCTGTTGGAACTTAACGCAAAGACACTTTCAAAGTCATCGCTTCATCGCATTTTTTTCTAAAAGAAAAATCAAACAAATAAGGCACATGTGTAGTACTGAGTTTTGATACTGATTTCGAAAAACAATTGGAACTATATCGGCCTTACAATATAAAAGAGACTTTACACATATTTAAAATAGATGTAAATTCTCTTAAAAGTGTTTGGCATTTACCCGCCTTCCGATCTTTACATACTACTGTAAAACCTCGTTTGCCCTCTCAACTATTTTTATTTTTCGTTCTTTGTTATTAGTTTACAACAAATATTTTATTGGCTTTTGATTGTACAACCGATTTGTTTGTTTGTTTGTTTTTTTACTTATAAAAAAGAAATCATTTGGTGAATTTTAGTTTATCGTTTTAAGACATGAACAAGGAAAAATTAATGCAAATTATACACATTTATTAAGAGGAATTCGAATTGATCCTGGACATAGAAATTTCCAATTTTTGAACAGAACAATCAAATACAATAGCAAATGAGTAGCGATGAATTTTGGTAACTCGCGCATAAATAGAGATAAAATCAAAGAAAAATAAACCCGTACAAAATCGAGAAAACAGAATTATCGTTCCATACAATTAAAAAAATCAAAACAGTAAAGTAAAAAAAAATAAAATAAAATAAAAGAAGAGACATTAGAGATATAGTTATTAACAGTGTGTGCATGTCATGATGGACATAGAAAATTTGAATTAATTCAATTGGCGTATTGTGGTATAATTTATAGTGTTTGGAGTGTGTGTTTTTGTTGTTGTGGAGATATAAGAAATAATTTGTTTGCGAGATTGCTAATTTGGCTAGTGTTCAAATGAAACTTACATTTTCTCCAGGCCCACCGAAACTCCCTAGATTATAATCACCAATACCTAAGGGGAGAATCACAAAAAAAAAGAATTCAAATAATTTAAAATAATCGACAAATAATCGAAAATAATCAATAAAAATGTGAAATAATTCGGAATGAAATATGCTGTTAGCATCAAGCAATTATCTTGAACGAATTGAGATTTGGTAGTGGTAATCGCGATTCTGTGGAAGAGAGAAGAAATTTTCTTTCGACGACTGTGATGCACTTTCATCGTCCATTTCTTTGGAGTTTTGAGAACAATATTTGGGGCCATTGGACAGTTGTGGCAAACTACGAAACTAACGATACAAAATTTACAATGTAATTCAGATATTTTTTTATAAAAAACAAAAGGGCAAAACGAAAAAAAAATTGAAAAACAAAACCCTACCGATCCTTTTTATTATGTCAGTTTTAACGCAAAATCGTCATCCAAAGGATATCGCTCATTGCTGACTGTTTGGCGACTTGTTCTAAGCGAATAAAAATATTTCCGTGCATCGAACGGGTGTATAAACTCTTGGCTTTGAGCATTCAATTCATTTTTAAATGCTTCACGTTTTTCTTTCGTGGGTAAGTTGGCCTTTGTCATGTTCGTTCTCCCTCAGAAACTGGTTTAACGTCATTTTCACGGTGAATTGTTCCATATTTGCAGGAATGACCTCTCCCTTGCGACGGTTTATTTTCGTATGAACAAGTGCTGTTTGTGGCTGTTGTTGTTGTTGTTGTTGCTGCTGAGCTATCGGTGGTGAACGTGCACGAGATGTTGATGCAATTGTTTGTGGTCGTGTTGAATATCTTGCTGGTACCACCACCACTTCGGTTGTTGTAAGCCGAGTCCATTTGGCTTTCGGTTCGCTATCAGTGTCATCGCTATCTGACAAACTGATGGGACTTAGAACTGGTTCATCATCTATCGATTCGCTATCACTGTCATCGCTAACACAGATCCACCGCTTAAACTGATTGGACTTGGAACTGGTTCTCTGGCAATTGTTCGTCATCTGATATCTCTATTGTTGGCACAGCATTTTCGAAATTAATTTGTTCTTCATCACTGCTGTACGATGATGGCAATGCTTGAGCCGGTGGTTGTAATAATTGTTGATTTATTTTTCTACGTTGTGCCAATCTCAATCGATTAAACCTTGATGACTCTGGCACAATGGGTGCCTGACGAACATCAACTAAATTTAAAAATCTAAATCTCCTACGTGCTTCTCCATCTCCATCAGCATTTTGCTGCTGTTCACTGTCATATCTTCTTCCATTGCTAACCACTTGCTTGGACAGGCCCTGTTCGGATCAAAAAATGAAACATCTTAGAATCGCATTTGGAATAAACTTTATGCCGAAAAATTGTTTATGAATCGAAAAAGCGAAAAGATAATGTTGTTGCCTTCGAAAGTAATGCACGCACAAAAGTACCGCTACATGCACAAAACACGTAAAAACATGCTTTACGACAATAGAAGTTAAGCTACGTAGCAAACGGTGTACCGTGCATCAAATGTTCAATGTAAATGGCGCAACACAGAATTGAATTTACAAAAAAAATACACACACACTTTTTCTCTTTTTCGAAATGAAACAAAAAAAACACGATTGGAGATGATTTTGGGGCATATTAATGTGCGTCGCTGTGTGTGATGTGTCCTGTGACCTGTGTCCTGTGTCCTGTGTCCTGTGGCTCCTTTTTTTTGTTACCGCGATAAGTCTTCTTCCAAAAACTCAATTCAAATTCTGACTTTGCAGGATGATTTGGGACTACTAGGAGACGTGCTGATTAGTTTTTGAGCAATATCTGTTGACCGGTGTAATTTTTTTTGGTCCGAATGGAGTACCCACAATTCATACATTTTACTTTTTTGATCATTTTTCAACCATTTTGGTGACACGATGGTTTCGTGCTCAGACATGAAATTTAAAATCTGACTTTACGGGATGATTGAGCATTACAATGAATAGATCTGGTCAAATTTTCAACGACATTGATTGATCGATGTAAAACTTAGACTCTGAAGAGGCACTTATGAGAAAAATGCCTTAAAATGATATTCTTTCAATTTGAACGTTGAAAGAATGTATAGTGGGGGGTTTTTTGGCACAAGAAATTCCCAAAATTTCGGTTCCATGCGGAAAAGTCAGCTTGCGTACGTAAGCCTCTTTATTTGATTTTGTTCTAATTCGGTTCAGAATGTTCGAATTTGTTGCATTTGAATGTGCACAAAAGTACCGCTACATTCACAAAATACGCAATAAAATGCTTGAAAACCACAATTATGAAATTCAAATTGAATGCTCAAGCACAACACAAAATTGAATTTACCAACAAAAAATACACACACCTTTTATTTTTTTATGATTGTAAATGCACAATGACTTGGAAAATAATTTTTTACTTTTCCGCACACACCTAGTGTGTAAGGTAAAGTATTGGAATCGGTCGAAAAATTAACACCCATCAAAAATGTGTTTTCTGGGTGTTTTTGGGGCCAGGGAACACGAATCTAGCGTTTTTTCGACGTCCGAATGTATGTGCGTACCCTGTACGCTGTACACAAAAATTTGTTAACACGATAACTTTCAAACAAGAAAAGTAATTCAAAGACTCTTCTGACTTCACAGGATGATTGGGGGTGCCGAGGAATAGAAACCATTAGATTTTGAGCGACTTTGGTTGACAGAGTGAAGTGTCATGTCTGGTGTGATGCCCATGGCCATCCATGGGAAAAATTCATTTTTTCTTCCAAAAGTGATATTTAATGTATAATTAAACACTCAAAAATGTGTATTGGGGGGTTTTTGGGTACGAGAAAACCGAATATGACGTTAGTTTTGCGATAAAAATATATTTCGAGACACTTTTCATTCAAAAATTTCAAAAAAGTTGGATTTTTGTATGAAAGCCATGCCTGTATGATATCGTAATGAGCTGAAATTTTGCACAGGTTATTTTCATCATACAAAAATACAATTTCAAGAGTTTGAAGACAATTCAATGCATAAAAGGGGTACCTTCCGAGCAAAATTTTGGATTTTGTGCTCAAAAACGAAAATTTTGTATATAAGGTACCACTCAATTGTATTAAAATTTCTTCAAACTTTCAGAATGTTAGCTTCTTGTGAAGAAAATAACATCTGCAAATTTTCACATGATTACGATATCATACAGACATTGAAAAGTCTATCAAAATTATTTGTATCGCAAAATTTAAATCATATTCAGTTTTCTCATGAATTCATATTTACGGTAAAAGATATGTAATAAATGCATGTTGTGGATTACAGTGCGAAAAAGTTCATCTTACGGATGTAAGACATTTTATTTTCTTTTGGTTTTCTCGTTTAATTCCGTTCTAATTCTGTTCAGAATGTGTGATGCCGGCAAAAATAAACACACACACACACAGGTGCGTATTTGATTTTGGTAAATGCGCGCCATACACAATACCAATACCAAATTTATGTCAACGCAGTTTTCAATAACACAATACAATACATTTGAATATGCTTACCCGAATGTGATCTTTTGTCGTTGCTACTGTTCTCGTAGTATTGTCCATTCGCTACGCCATATTGTCGTTACCGCTGTGACGTTGTTCCGATACAATGCTACTGTGTGTACAACATTGATTCCTTGTGTACCACTACCAAATCTCAATTTTCATCAGCAAATCATTTTGCTGCCGTGACTTTTGTTTCTATTGTATGTTTTGTCTTACATATTAATGATTTTCAATATGTAATCACTCGCTCACTCATTCATTCGCCCAGACACACAGTCCCTCTTTCTATCTTACATACATTCTGTTTTCATCATCGTCATTTGGCAATCTCATAGTATGTATACATATTAGAATTAATGCATGAATGACGATAATCCAAAATAATCAACAAATAATCGAAAAAAAAGAATCGCCAATACCACTGCCGCTATCTTCTCTAGGAGTTCCTGGTCCGGCTCCGTTGGCTGGTGAATTTTTCATGCCATCTAAATCGTTGCCATTAAGTACATTTCCCATTGAATTTGGACCTCCCATCGGACCCATCGGATTTCCATCACCACTCGAACCCATTGGAAACTCTTGTTTGAATTCATTCATCTGCTGTTTTTGTAGTTGTTGTTTTTTTGTTCGTATAAATTTCATTTCAATTAGTCAATTATTTTACAGATATAAACTTGACAGCATATTTTTCATTATGCTACACTTACACCGCCCATATTTCCACCAGCTGGTTTCATTAATGTGTACATATTATCCCCACCAGAATTTGACGAATCTGTAAATGAAATGCACACACACACAAATTGTTCAAATTCGTTCATATAAAATTCATAAATTGATGTGAAACAATGTATCATTGAACTAACCTTGAGGTGAAGGCATTATCGGCGTACCCGGTCCTGGCGGACCACCTCCCGGAGGACCCTACATTTAAATTTGAAAAAAAAAAACATTCAATTATGAATCGTTGCGGAGAAAAGTAGCTCTTATTTTTCTCCAAATAATACTGCAACATAAAGTTTTTTATGAATAGTTTAATCGTTGTATTACAAGAAATAAACCGTGTGAAAAAAACTTCATGTTGCAGTATAATTTGGAGGAAAATAAGAGCTACTTTTTCTCCGCAACGATTCATATCTTCAATTGCGATTTGAATAGTAAATCTTTCACTTACACCATAGTTTCCTGGTGACGATGATGAGTAGTTCATAGGTGTTGACGTATTTGGTTGCCACTGCGGTCGTCCTCCACTTGACATTCCCATTCCTGGTGGCATTCCTGGTGCACCTATACAATTTCATATGCAATTAAAACGTTTTGAAATCTAATAAAGATGCGAGTGAGCGTTGCTAAGACAACCTCAATACACGACACTAATAAAATCGTTCGGAATTTTATGATTACCTGGTGGTGGTCCACGCATACCTCCTGGACCATAAGCTCCTGGTATGGGACCGCCGATAGAAGGGCCTCTTGGTGGATTCATTCGTGGATTGATTGGTCCAATGCCTGGACCGCCTTTACAGCAGAAAAAAATTAAAAGAAAAATGGAAAAATTGCGATAAAATGTAAATTATCGATTGCAATAATTTGGTATAGTAATTTTTTTTATCTTGATATCTTTTACATCAAAATGTTTATTATGCATAATTATATATTGAAAAAAAAGGTGTCCTACATGAACATTCATGAATAAAATGATAACATTTTATGGCATTACAAACAGGATTAAATGAGGTAAAAATCAAAAACATTGCTCAATGGTACGGATGAAATGGGCGATATTTTAATTTAAATAAACCACAGAAATGTGTGTGCATATTCGCCAATTTGCTACTTATGGATACATTTTTGAACATAAAAATTAACCAATACTTATGATTTCTGACAAAAATGAATGTAAATAAATACAAAAATCATAATGGTAAACTCCAAACAGTGCGTGAATACAAAACATGCAAAATTTGTTTCTAATCATGTCCATTATCTGGCCATAAACACTCATGAAAACGAAAAAGAAATACCATAAAGTCGAATATTGAGCGAATTCTATGCGTTAGACAGTAACAGAATGTTAGAAAATTATTAATTCAAAGTCTCATTGACACACTAATCAAATGCAGCAGTTTTATATCACAGTACTTAATAACATTTTATTGTGAAAATGATTTGATTTAGAGAAAAAAAATTAATGATAAGTGCGCAAGCAGTTAGATAAATATGAAACATACACGATTTAAATACAATTACTATGAATACTCTGCAAACTTCTGTGTGTTCATATGTATATTTCGCACCAATTTTATAAATAATGGGAATAATTGAGAAGGAAATGAGTTTTATTTCGATTGATTATTAGGAAAAACAGCATGAACATGCTAATTTATTTTAAAATTATGGTTTTACTCGAGCATTCATTATAGATGCTGTGTATCATATTCAATTACTATTATTGACGAACGTAAAAAAAACTCTTTTCTCGAACTCATACTCATAGATAGAAAAAAATTATTATGAGAACACAGTACAAAGAATTGCAAACATATTCATCATCTTTTTGATATTCTCGCTAGCGATTAGTGTAGCAAAGACTTTGAAAAGTACAAAATGAAGAAAGCAAAGAAATAATAATAATAATCAAACGACAAGCTCATACTGATGCAACATTATTTCGAGGTATTTTCCGGTGGACAACAGCCATTAGCTAACGGCAGACAATATTTTATGATACAAAATTATTTATTCATATAATGATTCAATATCAATGGTCCAATACCATGTAAAAGAATGTTCTATCATAAAGCATTGACTGACATTAACAAGCAATTGCGTTTCTGATGTTCATACACAGATGTGCTGAAACAAGTGAAACACTGCCCTAATTTTCTTCACGATTTTTTGAACAAGTGCGAACATTTTGCTTCTGTTTCAAGAAAATGTAAAAAAGAAGAAAATCATGGTTCCTGCAACCAAAATGCGATTAGTGCAATAGTAAACATCTATCGCGTCCTCAATTGTAATGCCAATGCATTTCAGTGGCGAGCGCAAAACTGGTTTCTTACTCTCATCTCATTTCATCCATTTCAACTTCAAACTTCATTTCCAATTCGGTAATTATTTATGTGTTTTCTTATTAAATGCCAATCAATAATTGATTCGATACAATAATTTCGATTTTAATGCAAAATTTTCTTTCCAAATACCTAACCTTTTTACTTCGAATTTTAATGAATTTTGGGTTTGAGAGCGAAGAACAACAAGAACAATATGCAATTTTTTTTGTTAAAATGAAAAAAAAAGAATGAGTGAAATGAAACCAATCAAACCAAATAAATGAAATTATAAAAATGAATATAGATTGTTATTTCCAATTCAGATGAAATTATTCATGGTATATCCACTGAAGATCCATTTGAAACGAATTTATGCGATTTTCATGCGTCTGACAGATAGAGTGAATGCAGTACTATGATTCATGCTACAGCATACCAAGATTGTGTTTTTTTGTTTGTTTCCAAGGGAAATTTCCAAAAATTGAGAGATATTTAACCGAGACACTTTTAATTTTGAGTGCAATTTTTATATCTGTTTAATTTTGTTGATAAATTACAGGCCAAAACATGTGTATGCTAGTGGCTCGAAATGAGAAGTGATAGTGTTCAAAACATTCAGATCAATTTTCAGATGCAAAGAAAATCGACTCTCACAAACGCATTTTTTCTCTTCTCACACCTAAATGGTAAGAGATTGCTTTTTTAATAAATATTGCATATGTGCATATAATATATAATGTTGCGCAGTGAATTAAATATCTTCTTTTTTTTTGCTTAAACAAAAAATCTTTTTGATAAATGATTAATGTATATTGTGGGAAAATTATTAAGGTTACAGTAAAAATGTCAATGGAGATAATAGAGGAAAAACCATTTGCTTGTGGTTTCCATTTGGTGTGTGTTTGTTTTTATTTTTTAATTCGAACGAAAATGAAAAAGTAAAGCGAGAAGTATAAAATTAAAAACAAAAATTGTGAATAAATAAAAAACAATAATTAAGAGGAAAAAAAATCTAAGTAAAATTCATAGAGGCAGCTGACAAGCGACACATATAATTGCCTACCTTGCCATGCTACAAAATCGCCAGCTTCACCTATAAAATAGGAAAAAGAGATAAGATGTCTTATTATAGTGTCTTCGATATGCATTTGTTTTTGGTATGCTCTCTCTATGTCTCTCTTCTCGTTCTGGAATTAAACAACAACACACTAACTTTTTTTGTGTCCCGTTGCATGACAGCAACTGACATACCAATATCTCTTTGTACATTTATATTTTTAAAACCGAAAGGCCATACACAATATTTTTCGAATCGAAAAATTCGGTCGTCAATCATATGCTGTTCGGCCAAAATAATCCAACTAATTCGAAGTGAAAGTAGGACGATTTTTTTTTTTTAATTTCAGAGATTGAGAAAATCGAACGAATATTATTTATTCTTAGAAGTGAATAGTTGAAACTTTATCTCATGATGCTTTTTAAATAATATTTTTGTAGTTATTTTCCCATATGAATTGTGAATATTGAAGGCCCAAATCCATTCATTAGTGTCTTTTTTCAATGGCATTTAAAACAGTTGGTTGGGAAAATAGAAGGAGTGTCGGATATCAAATACGAGAAATAATTTATAGTCACAAACAGCGACGATAGTTATCGTGAAAACGATTACGTGAAATATATTCGTTATGTTCGTTAGTAACTAGTTAAAAGAAGGCAGAAAAAAGTCTATTCGCTTGAATTAGTTTTAGTCTACTTAGTCGAAAAAACAATGGTTTACAATTCCATAATTTTTACAAATAAATATAAAATGCATTAATTTATGTGTTTTCATTTGATCGTACGCGATATAACATATGTCCATAAAGTCTTGACAGTAAATTCAGATGTTCGCCATTTGAACAACAAACATACAATATTAAATTCTTTTTTATTGGTAATTATTCTTCTTCATTGGGTTACGAATAGCACATTCACCTTACACTGAACGGGCCATTGTCTTCGATTTTTCTCAGTATGCGTCGAACCTTCAAAATCATGCTTTGGCGGACCAATATGTCGATTTCTTTCAACTTTCTCTCGAACCTTCCCGCTAATTGTTGCTTGTTTCAAGTATTTTGGACCTTCGCCCATAACTTACATCCAAAAACAGACGAGAAATAATTAATTTGGTGTCTTTTTGTGAAGTTAAACAGATAGTCCTTTTTTCACGGAAATGTCATATTTTAAGAAGTGAGCCATTATTGTGGTTTTTTCTGCTTGCAAACCAAAATTTTGTGTTAAATCAGATAGTTCTCAATGAATTCTATCGATTTCAACAACAATTGGTTGATAATGGAGCATGTAATGGAGGTTTTACCTTACGTTTCAGCACCAAATTCTCGAATATTGGCTCTAAAACACCTTCCAAAGAAGATCCTACCATACAAACACGCCTTTATCAAAGTTCGGTTTGTCGACGTCTCTAGCCTTATATAGTAGTGCCCTAACATAATCAATGCAAAAGAAACCACTTGCACTTGATTCGTGGTTCGACATAGCGATGAATGTTTCACTGTCCAAAATGATGAATTTTTCAGTGCAAAATGCTATGAGGTGAAGTAAATACCCAATTTTTGACACCCTATTGAATTTTTTCATTACTTATTTTGCTGATTCCTAATGACCGGGTCTAAATCTATTGTTTTGGTTCAAATTTTGATGTGCTGTAACCATAAAAATCACCAAAAACGAATTTTTGCTTGACCAACCCGGTTTTCGGTACTTTCTCTTCATACTAAGTCCATGAAACACAATATATGGTTCGTAGGCAGATGGGTTCATCTTTAGACACATGCGAAATTTGTTTTGAACTTAGCCGCCACAACCATTTGAGACACTTTTTCGTAAATCCAATTTGTACGTCTCCGCGAATGGATGTATTTCATCGAATTGAGTTTGATAGTAGTCCCGAGGTACTGATGAACGTGCCGTGTGCATTGGTTGATATTTTTGATTTTGTTTATGTGGCGCAATAAACGCCTGAATTTACTGCCAAAACTTTATGGACATATGTTATTTCATTTCCCTAACTCAGCGTTTTCTTGTTTCGTATTCTTTTCGTTCACTTTAATTATTATAAGCTAAAATGTGTCATTACTTTGAGAGAAACAACAAGAATAACTATTATATTTTTAAAAAGAAAAATATATTCAATAATAAAATCTGTGAAACATTTACGAATTTCAATTTAAAAAAAAAAAACATAAAACTACAATTAACGAAACAATATTGCAAATGGAAATATTTTTTTGTGTTTTTTTTTTTCGTCAATTAAACTTGTTTGCTTTTATTAGTTTTCGTTAATTTATGTTTTTATCGGAATTTTGATGGGGATTTTTGTCTTAAATTTTCGAAAAGAAAAACAAAGCCAATCATCTAATTCATACAAAAAGAAAAACGATAAGAGAAGTAAACAAATCGATTCAATTCAACAGAATTTAAATCGATTGATGAAAAAAGAGATAAATGATCTTAAAAAATACCTTGCCGTGTTGGATCCATACTATTTGGCATCATTGGTTGTCCGGGTGGCTGTAAAGTAGCACATTATTTATAAATGGAATTGCATTTTAAATGGATGAAAACTTGACCATCGGTAGCTCATACTTACTCCATTGAATTCGTTACCAATTCCTTGTGGCATTCGAACGCCAGGTCCTCTAGGTCCGGATGGATACCGAGGCGCTCCCATAAACGACTACAAACAAAAAATCAACGTAATTTTTTTCATAATTCAGGCACATTCACAGTACATTGTCAATAGCGATTTTAATTAATTTAATCTAACATGGTTTTAATTTATTCAATATTTTGTTTGTCGAAAAAAATTATTGTTTGATTTTCATCTTCGTCTTGAAATAGTGAAAATTCGTGGTAATTCATTTAAAATTTAAAACTTCTCTGCATACATTTGATCTCGATTCAAATCATCACATCAAGAACATCTATCAACCGTCGTATTGCCAATAAATTGTGTCTTTGGCCGATCATTTTTCGATCTAAATAAATTATCTTAACTTTGATACCAACACCCAAATAAAGAAAAATGAGAAAAAATGACCACAATAAAACACATTTCAAAAGAAAAAAGCGAACGGGAAAACACATTGGCTTAATTGAAGTTAAGAAAATACGACATCAAATTACATTACAATTAAATTAAATGAGAAACATTTAAACAATGATTTAAAAAAAAAAAGAAATGATTTTTCAATTGCCTCAAAAATGAGATGTATACACATTTTTTACAAACATTAAAAATGTTCGAAATCAAAACTTAAGCTAAAATAACAGAGATTTGTTCGTTTTATTATTCGTTCGTTGTTCACATTGATTGCAACTGATTTGAGAATTAACAAAGAGAATCAATTAAATCGCTTGCGATATTGTTTTGGTGAGTGTGACATTTACTTTGGGATAAATACTTTCATAAACGATTGAATCAAATATCGAAGAAAGATTTGCTGCTGCGGTAAACTAAATATTCGCAATAGAATGGGCATCAAAACGTGTAAACATATAGATGCAATTGTGATACTGTGCAAAATTAATAGAAAATGGCAGGCATATTCGATTTTTTTTAAATTCGTGCAACAAACTTCTAAAAAACATAAAATGATTGAGAGTTACAAAAATGATTGGAAATGGAAGAGGGCAGATCAGGAGGAGAACGTGAATGTGAAGTGACTGATTCGATGTTATTGTTGTAGTTGTTGCAAAAATGCATTCATTCTATTGAGTCCGTATCGAAGATCGAAACAAGGCTAGAATCAGATTTTCTTTCTCTCTCTCTTTCTCGATTTTTTTTGAAGATTCCTCAGTTCAATATTCATTTGTTTTTGTGTTGTTTTATTTACAACCGAACACCAACCAAAAACTAACCTGTACCTGACCGGACATCAATTGATTATGCGAAGATGGTGGCTGTGGATGCGGAGACTGCTGACTTGTTGGGTGTGTTGGCGGTGATGGTCTCAATGTAGAATTCTGTGAAATACACATATATGCAACAAAAAACGGAAAAAATGTACAAACACGACAAAGACATACAAACAGTCAAACAAACGAACAAACAGAACACCGTAAAAAAAAAGAAACTGAAACACAACACCGATATCCAATAACGAACTATTCAAAACGTAAAACGTCTCTCTTTTTTTAAAAAAAAAAAAAAAAAAAAATGTTACTTTGATACTGCATCAAAAACTGCACAGAGTTTATTTCTGCAATTAATATTTGCTTTTCAACAGTCCATTTTGCTCTGGATAGTTGGTTTTTTTCTTTTCGCAAATACAGAAATGAATGAAAATGTTTCTTTTTTTGGTTTTTAGTCATTTTCCAAATATTTATTTTGTACTTGCTTCAGTCATTTTCTTCTAAGTATTTGGAAACATTTAAATTTTTCTCGCTGGCACATGATTTATAAATAATTTTCAGCGATTTTCCTTTTGAAATGACTAACATATCATAAATGATTGTTGTTGGGTTTGTTTTTCACGGTGTTTCGTTGAGTTCATTTAATAAAATTGCAGAGAAAAAAACACAACATAAATAACATGAAATACAAATGTAGATTGTAGAATGAATACAGAGATTTGCAAGAAGTAAAACAGAAATACCAAAAACAGAAATCATATTTATACATAGCATAATCATTGTATACAATTCGTAAATTTGTCGTTTTCTTTTTATCGTTCTAATAAAAAAATAAAAATAAAAAACGAAAAAAAATCTTCACCAAAATCATCTTTTCAGATTGATTCTACAAAACTCGAGCACATTTCCAATACTATTGATATTTGGATTATTTTATTTTTTTTCGCTTTATCTTTTCGCCGTTTTGATCAAACAAATTTCACAACGTTTATAATTTGATTGTTGATGATTTACTTAAGAGTGTATATCGATGATAGAAAATCCTACCGTTTGTCAGGTTTTTGTTTTGTTCCAAACTGATTTCAAAAAGGATGAAATATGAATTGGCGTGCGATTAATGATTTAAATGGAGGGCAAATGTAAAATGTGATATGCGATTTTGCTATGGTTAGATAACAATGACATTCACTAATTAGAATAATGTATTAAAAGGTAAAATGGGCGCTCATTCAAAATACATCATTATTGCATAGCAGCGGAGGAAGAAATAAAATAATTAAAGAGGGGGTGTGAGTGTGTGTAAAATCTCCTAATTAGACGATGGTAAGCAAATGTCACATAAATTCGAAGATTTTTCGTTTCTTTTTCTCTCACTTTCGAGAAAGGTGTAAATTTGCAGATTTGAATTTCGTTAGTTTACGTTTTTGTTTCTTCAATTTTTTTTATTTTGTTTATCATTTTATTTTAAACCTTTTGTTCTGCAGAAAATCAGTCAAGAAAAATAAATATGTTCATCTACGTCAATCGTAATGAAATCGATGCGAAACTTACTGGAAAAAAGTTTGGTGCCATTGGTCCACCCGGCATTCCTTCATTTGGTGGCAGTTGACCGATAGGACTGGGTGCAGGTCCAGCATTCTATACGAACGAAATGAATTTTATGTTTGATTGAAATTATTTTGTTTCAATTTATGATTGAACTTACGTGACCGATGCCATTTACGCCGTATCCTGAACTTACAAAACCCTGTTTTGTGTCGGAATAAAAATCGATTTTGATTAAATGTGAATGAAATCACTTTCGATTGGATCGAACAGTGTACTTACATAGTCGTGAAACGCTTTTGCTTCGGATGAATGATCACATTGTTCTCTTCTCTCTGGTGCCGCACAATAAAGATCCCAAAATACACTGATCATTTCATGAAATGAAAATAAGTCATAAAAATTAATTGACACCGGAATATTTGTGCATTCGTGTATTGTACTTACCACCACCAGGAATGTAGGAATCCAGGTGGTTCACCTAGTGTGATGTTTTTCTCCCATCGGATCTCCGATAGAAATGTCTGTGCGGCTTTTTGTGCTCCAACATGCAGTAGATATTCATACACATAAAGGGCCAATCTATGGAAGGAATAAAAGAAAAAAAAAACATGATGAAATTAGATAATTTTATGTTCGATATATGATCGAGTAAAATGTTTAGTTCTAGAAGAAAAAAAAGTTAAATCACGAATGATGTATGCTTCTTTAATCGAGTTCTAATTTTACTAAATCCTTACAACGTAGATCAAAATTTTGGATATGTGAAGATGGATATACGCATCTTTTTATTGTTGATGCTAAAATTGAGACTTCAAGAGCGGGAGAAAGACAGCACAGTTCATCAATTGAACGAGCCAATTTCAACGATCGCAAATATTTTCTGCTTAAAATAGGTTTATCGCCATAGGAATTGATGTTTATTTTGGTTTGCTGTATTCTCCTTCTCATTCACTCACTCACTCACACTATCTCTCTTTCTCTCTCTTTTTTCTGTTGCAACCAGGAAACATTAACCGCATCCAAGTAAGTAGAATGCCTTTGAATAATTCGTGCGTTTAACACATAGCCTTTGTCGGATAGCATCTAGTGAAAAAGGTTTCTGTACACTGTTATTATTGGCAGTTTGACGTTTTTGCTGCGTTTCTGAGCTCCAACGATTTAAGAATAACAGAAGATGCAACGCGCTTGCGAGAATGAGATGAAATGAAACAACTGAAGAAGATAGGTGATGTGTGTGCGCATTTTTTGTGTATTTTGCTGGGAATAACAACGGCAAAAGGTAAAATCAAAACCAAATACCTTGTACATAATTTGATGGGAAAAGAAAAAGAGAGAGCCCGCGCAATTTGATTCGAATGAATGAAATGCAAAGCATGAGATAAACTTACAAATGCTTTGCAGAATGCTATGAGATAAGCACGATGCGGCTACCGAGGTTTAAATATTCCACTTGGAACACTTTGTAAGTGTATATGTGTGTTTCTGTGCTCGTTTCGTGTACTGCTTTTTCAAATACATTTTTCGTGAGTTTTATTGCGATCCGTATGCTTGCATGCGTATGTCAGCGCTGCAAGACTGTCCAATGGTTTGGTATGTTTCACAAATGTGCTTCACAACGGATTACTTTGCGCGCTCAGAAGGAAATATTTTGCACTCATGCATCGTTGCACGTAATAATATTATGTTTCTGGACATGATAAAACGTTCGAAACATTTTTTTTTTTAATATATAATATTATTGACAGACTGAACAGTCACACATACTCAAATGTGCCATCCATTTTATGCAATGCTATTTATCAATCAAACAATTTTTCGATGTCAGTTTTTCCGATCCAATTCGTCGGATTGTCATAACTAAGGGACAGAGATAGTTTGAAAAGTCTTGCATCTGTTTCTCTTCTTTGATTATATTGCATTGGTCGTTTTTCAATTTTTTAATTCTGTCTCTGGCTTCAATAAGAAGAAAAATAAACCAATGAAAACAACGATAACACAGCAGAAAATGTGACTAAGTGTTACCCTGTTATATTGCTGCTGCTACCACCACTACTTCGAATGTCGTCGCTGCCGTAAAATCGAAACGTTACACACACCGGAATGCTATACAACCTCTACCGTCATCACTTGATAATACAAGCAGCAACAGCAGCAGCAGCAGCATGATGAGGCTCTGAAAACGGCGAACAATATGTTTCTTGCTTTTTTGCGAAAGCATTACGCTGTGTGCTAACAATAGGTTTGAAGTTGGTTAGTCCATCATATCAAGTGGCTTTGAAAACAAATGCGCCAATTATTTTTGAAGAACGGCAAGAGCAACATGAAGCGGCAAATAGCACCAAGTGGCAGCCATTCGTGTTCCTGATGAGATGTTATTCTGCATAAGATATACATTCCCAATGCTTATGTTGAACAAATAGAAATCGAGATGCTCCACCGAAATCATCAACATTTGTTTCTTCTATTCTTGACGAATCAATTTCGATCCGACCTCAGAAGTATTTTAGAAAACATGTTAGCGTACCATATACAAATTTACCGATGAACATTCAACAGACGTTTTTAAATACACACACACATTTTTTTTATGTTGAATTGAAAATAATGAAATGTTTTTTCGTCATGGGAGAAAATCTTTGACATAATCAAGCAATATGCATTGTTGCGCATTCTTTAGTCGTATTTCTCTTTGCTTTCATTGGATATGTTTACATGACGCGAGTGTTTTTTTTTTGTCTTTTTTTTGTTGCTTGATAAGTGAGCTTATGTACTCGGACTCAAAAACATATTATCGATTTCATATTTATAATCTTTTTTGTTAGTCTTTTTTACAAATCGCAATGACAATATCAGTCTGTTTTTTTCTTCTCATTCACGTCGTAAAATGTCCCGAAAATTTCCAAACGTTTCGATGACAGTGGACTGAATCTCTTGCCTTCAACTTTGTTTGGTTACAAAAAACAACAACATTCGAGAGCTCCGTGCAACCAACTTTATACAAACAATATGCGTGAATATGGAACACAAATGATTTATGCACAAATGCATTTCAATGACAAAGTCTTTTGAGTTGTGGAATGGGAAATTTGAGTTTACCACGCATGCAACGTGCGTAAAATTGAATGTGCAAATGAATGTGACGAAATCGCCAGCAGCATAAAGTATCTAATAACAGGTACACCGGTCGTGGAAACTGCAAACATTATGTACCTTGTCAAAGATTTCTGTGTTTCCGTTCATGTGTGTGTGTGTGTGTGTGTGTGTGTGTGTGTGTGTGTGTGTGCGTGTGCGTGTGCAACATAAATATTTAATCTATTGGCGAAATTATTTTGCAGAAAAAAAGTCAAAAGAAAAAAAACCAAATTGCAAATATGGAAACAGATTCAATAATTTTATTTTACGAATGAATAAATTTGTCAACGGGACATGTTTGTAGCGTCAAGTGTATGTAGCGTCGCCTGATTATGACACGCTCCGTCCGAAAACCGTTTGATCGGTTCAGAAAGCGGCAAAATGTTTGATTTGGCCGATTTTCTATATATTCGTTTGCATTTGACAAGTGCATATGCATCTTTGCCGAAATAAATTTGTTCGTAATATAGATTCGATGTCGTTCATTCATATATATTTTTTTCATTGCAGGAAATGCATTCAAAATTGTTTGAGAATAGAACGCCATCGAAAGATGCATCAAAAATCATCAGACATGACCAACTGTCTGTATATTTAAAAGGAGTTTAAATGTATTTAAGTGAACACAACGAATATAATCCATACCCAAAGCCGTAGTGTATTGATGTATGTGTGTATTTGTTGTATGTGTATTGATAATACGTCTATTTACTTAACCAAATGTGAGATGTGAGTGAGTATACAGCGGGCAAACAACGTTTGATGGTATAACACCGACTTTATATTCACGTTTCGAAGATTTTTTGAATTGTCTCTTTCTCACCGAGAGATCAAGATTGACGATTCGAATGCAAGCACACTGATACATTAATGATGATGCATACATACACAGAGACGAAGTAGAGAGTCAGAGTACGACAGTGAAATACACAAGCACACACATGCATGCGCATTTGTACATAAATGTCTACAGTTTATAGAATTGTACAAGTACATAGTAGATTGTATGGGTAGAGAGTGACGCTTGGAAGCGCGAATGTACACCATAATTTGCTCACTAGGTGAATTTAATAGAGATGTTTGAAGGCTCACCAAATAACAAAGTGAATACAATAGACTATGTACATGATGAAAGAAAGGGAAAGAAGGGGAACACAAACGAATAGGCAATACAACAAACAAATAAACAAAATGTTTGTATGAGAACGCGTGTAGAACGCGCATCGTTCTCTTTTCGATATATTTTTCGAATTCGGTGTATGTTTCCCGAATGTGTGTTTCGATGCGATCGAAGCGTTGTTTGTGAGCGCAATTCAGTTATGTATATTTTCTATATATAACATATATATATATACATTAAAGGTGCACGGTACTTTAACATAGTCGCCGAAAGAGCAAAGAGGGAGATAGAGACAGCGAAAAGAATGAAAGAGAGACACACAAACAACATTCGGCATTATGTACAAACGCGGGCTCTCGGATACCAATTTTATGCGTTGTTTGGTACATAACATTTTACTGGCGTTTGTAAATAACATTATAAGTGTATATAAAATGTACGACAGGGTGTATTGATTACATTGTCGCTGTCGCTGAGCATTTTGTTATAATATTCTGCAATAAAATCATACCGAACTTAAATGAATTTACTGCCTCGCCAATGAACGAACATTTATTTGGACAGACACCCTGCAAAATTGTTTGCACGCACACATATTTTCGGTCATTCATTTGACTGTGTGTAAACGCGGCTCATTTTCTGCACATTTGACAAAACCGATGTGAAAAGCAAGAGAATGAAAAAAAAGCGCAACGAAAAAGATACATGATTACTCGTATATTCGGGAAATTCATATAACCATTTATTTCGAATGTACGCGCTAGATATAAATGCGTATGTATGTGTGCATGTGTTCATGTTTGTGCATGTGTGCTCAATTGAACGAATGTATGTGCGTATTTACGCGTTTTTGGTTGAATCTGATGGTGGTTGTTGTTGCCGCTCATTGTTGATCGTCATTTCTACTCTTCGTTTGATTCCATATATTCATGTGAATGAGCCAAATGAGAAAATAACACTAGTATTTTTTGAAATATTGAATTTTTATTACATGATTGTTTTTTTTTTCAACCCTTAAAACCGAATAAATTTCCCACCAATCGAATATTTTTATTCGTGGAACTAGAACATTGTACGCTATGATATAAACATCGGTCACACTCGACATAGTATCTAGCTAGATGCACAGATCTTGAGTGTATGAATCAGTGTGTTTATGCTTAGCCACTACGTGGGAAATTCGACATGGACAACATGTTGAAGATATTTCTTTCAATCGATGCAAGAAAAAGACGCATACACACTCCTATGATCCACTTCAATCAAACGAAATTCAACCGGTACAGATCGAAATGATCAAACGGTTTCTAAGATAGGTAATGATAGAATTGATTTGGAGCCGCGAACGCGATTTTTTTTTATTAAAAAAAAGCAAATGATAAAATAAATAGATATTTGTATAAATGTGGTGTGCGTGTGTGTGTGTGTTTGTGTGTTTTGTTCAATTTGTTGAGCGACTTTCATCGATTTACAAATCGATATAATATTCATATGCACACAAATCATTTACGTTGCTTTGACATGATCTGATAAAAGTCAATGTATGTCAATTTATCTTTTTGTATTGATCGCATTGTAGCTTCACCTCTCTGACCACCACATGATTCAAAACAAACCAACCGTACGGTTGCTATCTGGAAATAGATCTGCTTTTAATGACCCCACCACCGGCCGCATATTTGTGGATTCACCTAAAAATTAATCAAATCCAACTGACTTTTTGGCTGCTAAATTCGACTACTCAAATTCCACGTACAATTTTTATTAATTTTTTTTCGAACCAACAGGCCGATTTGAAAATTAGATCATGACAGTACATAGAAAATTGGGCCGATTAAGTGCGTTGAAAAATCGAACGAAAAAAAATAGTGAGCTAAAATTCTAGTTGAAACGTCAAAGAAAAGAAATTCGTAAAAATCGAGATATTCAAAAAAAAAAAAAAAAAAATACAGGGGGAGAGAGAGAGAGAGAAAACGAATGGGAAAATATTGAATTTGTGTACACAGTGAGTGCAAATGCTCCGCATACATGCTTTTCGGTATCTCAAACATATAGATATAAACGAAAAACGAAGTACACATCGCCGTACTTTTTACGATTGTGCTGGCTTTGTTTCTCTTTCTCGCGTACTTTATTATTACACATTATTCGCCGTGTTATTGTCTTCTCTCTTTTTTTCTCATATTCTCTCACAGAAAATGTACGGTTTTTTTCTCGTGCTTCCGAACGCCTGTGTAAATGGTATATATATATATATATATGTGTGTGTGTGTGTGTGTGTGTGTGTGCATGTGTAAATGTATGTTTGGATTTTATCGTCATTTTTGTACAAACATGTATATCCCTCACTTGTATATGTGTTCATGTATTCGTAATGACTGAGAATTTAAGCTACCTTTGATTGGGTTATCCGATCCCGAATGTTCTAAGCTTATCGAATTCGATTTGCGAATATATTTTTTTTATTTCGAATGTCATTCAATCGATCAGCGACCATGAGATGAACTAAAAACAAAAATATTTAGTCCAACATTTTTGCTTAACTTTCCATCAAAAAAATAAAAATAACAAGAAAAACGACACACAAAAAAGTGCTATAAGTAGAATTTCTGTCGTGCCTTAGATCGGTTAAGTTTTTTCGGGATTGTCTGGTTTTCTCAAAGGTAGGTTAGCTTGTAGAATAGCAGTGTGCCGCGCTTATATACAAAATATGAGTTCTGTTTGCAACGTTGCCAAATTTCCGATTTGTTTGCGCTATGTGTAGAATGTAGTGTAGTACTTTGGTTTCTGTTTTGCCGTTTTTGTTGTTGTTATTGCTTACGTTTTTTTTCGCTTCAGCTCTTTGTCAGTGTTGCTTTCGTTCATTATAGCAAATTTGTAAAGAGTAGCAAACAGACAAAAAATTCTTCTGATTTTTTTCCCTAGTATTTCAAATGAGAAAAGTGATGAGAGTATGAGCGAGAAAGTAAGAGAGTGAGAGAGAGAGAGAGGGAGGTAGAAAAACAAATATAAGAAAAGAGAAAAAATCTTCTTTCTTAATACATCAAAATTCATAATTTTGTTTTGACGTCCACGGAAAATCAACTAACTCGATTCGGCACCAATAGAATGATGTGACCGCCACCAATCCATACCACGTCGTAATGAAGATAATAGATGCACGTTGTGCCACTAGTTGAGAAATAATTTAAGCAAGGTAAATCAACTTCATTTGAAGAATTCGCTCAAACAATCTCTAAACTAGGTGAATGGTAAATGTTACCACAATGTTTAAAAAAATCGGTTAAGATCAGGAGAATAACGAACAGGCGAACGAGAGCAAGTAAACGTATAGGCATAAAATGAGAGGGAAGATGAAAATATGTATGGAATGATGTGACAGACATTTCAACGACAAAAAAGAGATCCTGCGAATGCAATGTTGCTTAAAGAATTTCATTCTGCTTTAACTATTTCAAATCATTCCATATTGGTAATTTCATTCACAAAAATCTATAGTGCATGGCATGACTATATTTCGAATATCAAATATTTTCAGTTGTCCGCACATTGTTGGATGACACAAGTGCTTGGTTGATTTTGGGGGGGAAAATTCCTAAAATGTCGACTAGCAACTACGATCGACAGTATCGAATTTGCAAAATTCAACAAAACCTCATCGAACAACGATGAGCGAGAGCAACGATGAACAAGAGAAAAACAGCAAAATTTCGATCGAGTTCGACCAAGAGAATCATTTGAAGCGACAATATATGCATAAGTATATGTGTAACATTCAATAATTTTTGTGTGCGTTCTATGTGTTGTTTTCGACAAAGCGCACCAACAACAAGAACAATTGCGACCGAGAAATAGGTACACATTTCGAAAATGAGCATTTCTATCCATGTGAACAAAATATGAAAATACAAACCAATGCAAATATACCGACGCATATACATGCACGCTCACACATATGCACACAAATACACATTCAAACATGTATATAGCGATATAGATATACACGAATACATGCACATATGCACGCGCGCACCGTTTACAGCCAGCTGTATGTGTGGACGCATAGCCAAGTGATGAACGTTTCTCTCTCTCTCTCTCTCTCTCTCTCTCTGCATGTATGAGTAAGCTTTGTGTCTTCTTTTTTTCGATTTCTTCGTGAGTTTTTTATTCGTTGTTAGTTTTACTTCGTTTTCATTGGAGATTCCGAAAATGTTGTAAAACTTCTGTGTTTTAGCAAGAAACCGATGCGCTGATGTATTGGAACGATAAAAAAACGCAAGTGTTGGCGAAATTCGGCTCAAAATTTAATTATCAAAGTTACTTTGTGCCACAGTGTCATCATAGTTTGCACGATGGCGATGAAGCTGTCGATAGTGAAACGTATGCGATGAATATGCGTGAGTTTGCGTTTCAAATATGTCTATATGCACTTCGAAACCGAGAACATTCATTCTCAAAACCAAACCGATTAAGTTAAGTAAAAACGCACGGCTATGAACCGATACAAACCTACGAAGCGTTGCTTTTCAAATTTTCAAATCAAATTCGATTTATTGACAGTTTTGGATCAAACGATCAAATTTTGATTGCAAACATAGTTCAGTCCATCAAATTTTCGGAGTGATGTTTGAATGACGATCTGAATGATGCTATGATGCTTAATACCAAATATATATATATATATATGAATGTTTCAATACGAGAATGGAAAAATATAATTGCAGCAAGAGCAATTCCGTTGGTATATTTTTCCGTTGTTTCTCTCTCTTTCTATGCTACTCTGTCTCTTTTTCAAAAAAAATTCTGTGTGTAAATCGATGCGGTCGCGTAAACTGAGATGATTTTTTTTTATTGTAATGATAAAATACGAATTCGAGTCGGCTACCAGTATAAAATAGAAAAATACATAGTACATGGATGTATAGATAGAGGATGAATGGATAGTTGGATGGTTGGATAGATAGATAGATGGATGGATGAATAGGTGGAAGAGAGGTAGATAGCGCGTTGCCGTCTGAAAATCATTGTCTGGTGCACGTTCTCGAGTTCTGAGTCTCACCATTTCCACCAGTTACTGATTTTTCGGCAGCGCAAGCAATTTTCAGACGGCGCACGTGTCTCAGTGTGAGTATATGTAAAACAATTGTGTTGCTTATGTATATAGGACAGTGTGTGTAAATGTGAACGAACATGAATAAATGTGAGTGTTTATACGTACTTTTCTCTGGCCTGCGCATCCGACGGCACCGATGAGTTTTTCGATTTTCCATACATTATTTAATAAATATATAAAATATATAGAACTATGTAATATGAAGTGTACATACACAAAGTATATACACACAAATATTGTTATTTCTCTGGTTTTTTTCTTTCTATATTTCGGTTTTTTCCTTTCGAATATATGTATATTGGATAGTGTTTTTTTCGTGTGTTATTTTATATTCGCTTCTACTCTGTCGCTATATTTTCGCCGCGTTGCTCTTCTTTTTCAGTTTGCTCTTTCTTTTTCGTCTCCGCAATGTTGTTGTTGTGTTCCTGCTGTTGCTACTATAATGAGTTCTATATAAAAAAGTTTCATGTGCAGAGATGTATTAAAAGTTGGTCGCCGTTTTATTGTTGCTATATGCCGATCGTTTTGGATTGTATATTGTTGTTGTTATTATTATTAAAACAATATTTTCGTTGAGTTCTTTTGCTTGAATTTTTTTCTTTACATGCCGCGATTTTGTTCATTTCTCGCCCCGTTTTCAAATTTGATTCGTCGATATTTTTGCGCCGATTTCTACTACATCGATGGCATAGCTGCCAGTTGATATTACTGTTTGAGCCACTTTCGAACGTCAGTGTATTTTTGCGGCTGATAAATATGAATGCTCTGTTGTTTCTTTAACATCCAAACCAAACCAATTGGATGTGTTCAATAGCGCGAAATATTGTTTTCATGTACCACCACCACGTTTACCATTCAAACTCGACGCGCGAATTCAATGTTTTCAACAAAAAAACCGACACACAGGCGAATTATTTCACTAACACGTATACGCAAAATCGAACTAAAAATTATTATTATTTTTTTTTTAATTAGGCAGTCAACAGTAATAACATGACAATATTAAACAACGAGACGAATGACTTTTTTTTCTATCTTTAATTTAAAATTTATATTTATGCACACGTTCAATGACAATTCGACAAACAAGAAGCGGTTTAGATTTCATTGAGTTCTTTGACTGCTAAACTGATGCCCGTCACTTTGAACGATATTCGGCGCGTGTAAATAGTTAAAATATGGACAAAAAATACAATTTATCTGTACATTTCAATCACGGATCACAATTAATGCTATTGCTGTTTCTGCACCGAATATAGCCACTGTTCTTCTTTTTATTCTTTATTTGATTTTTGTTTCTTGTTTTTCAATTTACAATTTTCAAATTTGTGATAGAGATGAAAAATGATTTTCGTTTTGTTAACTTTTCCCTTGGAGACGCGATCAACGGCTCGATTAATCGATTGCAATGATCTCAGTGTTTTGCCTTTTTGTCATTTGTCGAATAGACGAACCGAAACCAAAATTATAATGATATCAATATGATACAGTTAGCACATGTACTATACACAATTTGGTGTTCAGCATGTAGAAGACACAAGAGTATGCAAATTGTATGGTATGGTAGCTCACTGAATAACTTTTTTCTCACTGTTCAACATTGTTCATTTGTCATGTATCGATAGTTTTGATAGTTCATCGTTCATAAATTGTTCTTTCCAATGTTCTAAATTTCGGAATATCGTCGCCGTTTTCATTTGGATAAATTTTTTGTTTGCAAAGATTTTCAACCGATATTCAAATATACAGTGTGAAAATAATAATTGTTATAATAATATAAACCGAAAAAGAGAAATTTTGATCTGACGCTTTCGGGTACACACAGATACACAAGAGCCGTATACACAAAAATGTGACAATTCGGTTCGTATGCTTTTGGCTTGCTTCTCGCTTTCTCTCACACACGATTTATCTTCACGTTTTGTTTCTTCTGTTTGCCTGAAATTTTGGTTCACGCACACATAAACGCATATAAACTACTCCAAAACCGATGTTAGGCTCCAATCCATCACGGACGCTTCGGATGGACAATTCCACGGTTTCGGATTGAGTTTTGAATCCTTCTCAGTTCGAAATGCATTCAGTTCGTAATAGACGAACCCACAAAACGACCAAATTACAATCCGGATTTTTTGCGCTCACCAATCTGCTGATGCATTTGATAGATATCAATAGCTGTTAAGCTGCTCGTTAAACCGTCAAATTGAATATGGTGCTTTCCCGGTATTTGGTATTTATCTTTAAAAAAAATTCGTATCGGTAACTCTTAATGGCTATCGAATTTATTTGAGTGCAGCAAAAAAAGCCAAATTCTGACACTATTTCTTTCTGTAATTCACATTAATTTCTATGGGCTTTTAAATGTCGCAGTTTTTTTTCTGTTGATAAAAATGCATTCAAACACACAAAATTTTCAATGTATCGATGACATTTTTCGTCACTCGTTCTCTCAATGGTTTTTTTATTTTAAATTTTATTTTTGTTTCGAAAGTAACACCATCGACAATTAATAAATACTTCTTCGTGTTTCCATCTTGTATAACCAATTTTCGTTGCGAACACACTTTTGCTAAAATGCCAACAAATCTCTAACAATACTTATATTCCCTTCGATTCTTATTACCAGCGAAATAGCATTAGTTTTTATTTTATTGTTGTTGCTAGTGCAAACTCGATGTATGCACTTAAATTTTTTTTCACTCCGTTTGCGGTGGCCTGTTAAAACCTACTGACTCGATATTTTATAAGGTACAACATACATTGTGTAACGCTTTGGTGAGCGTATGTCTTGGTTCGCAATGCGATGCGTGTGTTGATGCTTTGGTGCCACAATAGCGTTCGACGTCTCTTGTTTCCATCGCACATTTTGCATGTGTATGTGTGTGTTTTTGAATCGCTTAAGTTCGGCCATTGCATTTAATTGTTATGACAGTTCGCTACAAACAAGCAAACCTTTTTGTTTTCCATTTCGGAAAATGGTTCCCATTTTCAATTGTTTTATGCTCAAAATATTTTTTTTTATTTTTCATTTAAATTCGAATTGAAATCATTTTATATAATAAAAATCCAACTTTTTTTTCTTCATTAAATCGATTGATTTAGTCTAATGCAGCGCCATTTGGGTGATTGTGGCGAAATGGTTCAGGTAGCGCTATCAGTCGCACTCTCTAACACACATACACACACACATAGACAAATATCGGATATAAGATGTAGAAACCGCTTGCTGCATGTACTAACACAAATGTATTATGTCGCGTGTTTGACATAAAAACGGTTCGCTGACAATTGATGATGGCAGCACATGACGGCGAATTCAAACAGATTGAGTTTGAAAATTGTCAGTTTGTCGTCAAACGATTTAATAGTACATTGTGCATTGTTTTTTTTTTTGTACATTGGGGAGTGTTGCATTTTTTTTGTTATTTTCGTCGTTGGTGCACACATAATTGCACAATGTTTTCATTTTTGAGCGAAAATTTATCATAAATGATGAATTCATTGTGTGTAGCAGTGAATTTTCAATTTAATTTGTGATACAAAGAAAGTTGTTGTTTTTGTGAATTATCAATGTTGGTCTCCATTCAACTCGTCAGTTAAAATCTTTTGTGTTTGCGATACAAGTTTGTGTTTAGGTCCAAGTCCAATGAAATAATAAAATTTTATGCTTTCTACAATATATCAATAGATAAATTAAAAAAAAAACAGTGTTAAATGAATTTCATGTAAATTTAAACGTTTGATAAAGAAAAAAAAAGAAATAAAAATGGATAAGGAAATTGCGGATCGTTTACGAAATGAAAATCCCGAGCAATTTCAAACGTTAGTTCGTATGCATTTGTCGTTTGAATTAGATCTCAGCACAGATCCAGTTGAGTGAGTGTTCAACCAAGCAATTGCAATTTTGCAATTTTCTGCATATTAATTTTAATTTTTCTTTTTTGTTGTTAACATATGTTTTCACAATGCAATGTTTTCGTTTATCCGTTGCAGAAATGATACCCAACAAACAAGTTAGTAACGTTTTTTTTATTCATTTTAACGTTGAATAATGTAACGCTTTTTCCCAAATTGGAGGTGAAATTGACCAAACTTCACCCACTTCCATCGTTGAATTAGAATGAAATTCAGGTGATATTTATCTGTGCGCCAAACCCTAATTAAATTTATTTTTTTTGAATAATATTAGAATATTTGCATATAAATCAACATCAATATTAATGTAAAAATCATATAAAATTTTCTTTTAATCTTGTGTATGCGTATCTGTAAACATAACCTCATGTTCGGTAAGTCCATTACGCAAATTGCCATACTACTAGAAAAAGGTTCCCAATACATCGAAATATTGTTCAAATATATAAGAGAGACTCTGTCATAATAAAATCAACTAAGGATAACGTGGAAATATTTTGGTTGGTATTGGTTATTATTAGTTGACAGTTTTTACAGCGAGCTGACGACTCTAAATATTGGCATCGAATGCATCAGAGTTAGCTGAGATTTCAACGAAGTAAGTCGCATCACAAGAACTCACTGTGGTTGTCATTTTGTGTGTTTCAGTGCATAACTGTGTTTTGTATATCAACAACTTTGATTGTTTATTTCTCTCATTAGATTTGTTCTAATGAATTCTTGAAGTGTTTTTCCGCTCTTTTGCTGTGACAATTACAGTGATTTTGGTAAGTACTCAAAAAACATGAATTTTTCTAGATTTTTTTTATGATCAATAATTTACATTGTTTGTCGTATGAATTCCACAATCGAATGCTAATCATATTAGTTATTGTTCAGTTGTTTTTTTTTTCGATAAATTTCTTGAATACAATTGCATTTGATACAGCATTTTTTTGCTATGATTGTGTTGTTGAGTACAAAATAAAAATGATTTTTTCTTAATTTTCATTAGAATCACAATCATAGCTGGGCAGACTGAAAAATTCAGGGGGGGGATTGGGGGGGCTATTTTCTCAAAAACTCCTAGCAAAATAGAAAAATTTCATCTATGATCCAAAAACCCTAGCAAAATGAGAAAAAATCTATCCAAAATCATGAATTTTGTAAAGGGGTAACGCAAAAATTTGATGATTTTGTAAAGGGGCAACGCCAAAATTTGATGTCTCAAGAGGGGGTAATCCCCCCCATCCCCCCCTGTCTGCCCAGCTATGATCACAATGGAAAAAAGGCAATTTTTGGCGGTGTTCCAAGAAAGAAAGCAAAATGAGAAGAAAAGGCAAAGAAGGAAGAAAATTTCGAAATTCGACAAAAAAATTATCAGCCAACTCAATATTCAGAGATGAATATGCAAAGTACCTCGTCGATCACTTTTATGGCAAATGATAGCAACAAAAATATCGTATCTGGTATCACTCTCATTGCTGTTTAAAGTCAACGAGGCGTTTGATATCGATGATCGCGATTATTTTATGAAAACTGATGGAAAACATGAAACTCGTCAAATTTTCACCGCTGTGAAATATTCGCAAAATACGTACATTCAATGCATGATTCGTAAAATATTGGAATTTGGTTGACATATTGAGTCGTATTTTGCGAATACTCTGCGAATGTTCTCGTAACATATGAATATTACTCCAAAACCATCGAATAATATATATTCGCGAATAGATAATTTCCCCTAGAAAAAAAGCAAATGTTGTTCCGGTACAGGTAAGCAATCAATGATCAACCAGCATCAACCAATTGAAGAAAAGAAAACATGTTAACTAAAATAGTTATTACCAAAGCTTGTATTTTTTGTCTTTGATTTGTATATAATATCTGAGATATTATGTATAAAGTATCCCATGGTAAGTATAATTTTACCAACTAATTGATTACAATTATTATTGGTGTTGATTCATTGTTATAAATAAATTTAATTCGAGTGTAGCGCACATTTAATGATGGAAATTGGGTAAATCTCTTACGATCAATTTTAAGTCTATATTAACATATTGATTTCAATTCATAGGGAATTTTATACATAACTCTTTTTGTCTCTTTTTTTCATTCTATTGTGACGTTAAATTTGACTGAAACAACACACAACTGCAACCCCGCATTCGACCATCAATATATAACCGATTTTGCCCCAACAATTGTTTAGTGGGTAGCGTTGCCAGTGTAAAACTGCGATCGAAGAAATTGTTTGCTTTTCCAAAAAAATCGAAACAATTGCATTCCACGTCAAAGAGTCAACCATTCAATGTTGTCGATTCACTTACACCCGTTGGCATTGAGCAGATCAAACAAATGATACGCTTTTTAATGGAGAGCCAAAGTATGTTTTAGCTTTAGAAGAAGAAAAAATTCCCCAAAATTGAGTTAATTTGATTGGAATGCGTGTATTTTACATTTTTTTAGATATAATTCAAGAGGGTATTTTCCGACGGACTGGTTCAGTGGCACGTCAAAATGAGCTGCGGCGTCGCCTCAATGAACAGACAACATTGGATTTTAGCAATGGCGTGTATACGGTTCACGATTGTGCCAGTGTTTTAAAGTCGATCATTGCCGATTTACCGGAACCACTTTTAACCGATCACTTTTATGCGGTTCATTGTCAAATTGCCGAACTCTACAATAGCAATCAAATTGAACACAATCAAATGAAAGAGACTCGGCTCTTGCATTCAATTCAATTGCTATTGCTATTGCTTCCATTGGAAAATCGTTCACTATTTTATGACATCATAAATATGTTGAATGAAACCACAAAATATGAATCGAGCAATAAAATGTCTTCCGAAAGTCTGGCCACATTGTTTACACCACATTTGATATGTCCACGAAAATTGACACCAGAAGCATTGCATGCGGTATCACAAAATATGTCGGGCCTAGTAAGTTTTATGATTGGAAAAGGTGATGAATTGCAATGCATACCACCAAAACTATCCACCGACATACGAGCATATTTGGTGGAACAAAGACGTAAAAAGGTGCTATCGCCTGAATTGCAAATACTTGATGAATCGGTTACGTCCGATTCAACGGCAAATACCGTATACACATTTGTGGATCGTGAAAAAACGGCCGAAGCTCATAATTCAAATTCAACGGATACTGCATTGGCACAATTATATGCGCACATACAATCATTACCCGATGATCGAAAGAAACGAAAGCTAATCAAACAATTTAATAAGGAAAATGGACAGGGAACGCCATTGCAACAGCAAATGTTGATGCGATTGAAAAAGGGAAATGTGGCCTCACCACGACCCAATAAATCACTTAGTGGTTCAATAAAAAAGCACATCTTTCATTCGGCACTTGGTTCAAAGACACCAAAACGTGGATCGATGACCGTTTCTACGCCAAGTTTGCCAGGAATGAGCGTAAGTCTACATTTTGACGTCTATTCACCGAATATTCATTTTTAATACGATATTTTTTTGTTTTGTTCGATAATAACCATAGACTCCGGTTAGTAGAAGAGGGCTCGATTCGACGCCAAAATCTCAATCAACATTCCATACGCCAATCGGACACCGATTGAATGCAACCCGTACAGAGACTTTATCGTCGTCACTAGAAACACCGAAATCAGCCATGAAAAATAGTAAATACGAAAGCAAAAGTACCGAAACACTTGACAAAATAGCAATAGATGGTGATAGCGAGATAACTGAAAACAAAAGTGAACGAAAAGAAATGGCAAAAATTAAATTCGCGCAAGGTGCCGATAATCACAACGATCAACATTATCACACGCCAATTTCATTTAAAATGAGTAAATTTATAATGTGCTTCAAGTCAGAGCCGGATTTGAGCCGTGTCCAAGATGGCATCGAAACAGCACCAATACTAAATCGTGGGCGTTTCATTGCAAAGAAATTACTTAGCGGAGTTAGCATGATCAATTTGCGTAGACCATTTGTGAATTCAAATGAAAAGGCAGCTACTAGAACCAAACCAATAATAAATGACGAGAGCAGCAATGACAATGCTGAAAATATGTCGAAAAAACTAGGTGATGAAATTGAAACGAACAAAATGTCAATCGCTGAACCACAAGCGTGCTTTGTCAATGAAAATAAAATTGATGACGACGACGAAGATTTCGTTGATGACGAAGAAGTTGATCGAGAATACGATGATAGCGTTGACAAGGAGAATCAATCACCACTACATTATAAGACAATTGAATACATTTCAAAACTCAATCCGCCACCGCCATTGGCGGTGGCAATTAACTGTGGCGCTCCTCTGTCGGATTCAATTACAAATGATTCGGTGTCACCAATTACCAAATCAACACATCGCATGTCGAAAGCAATGCAGGTAAGAAATGACAATCGGTTAATGTCCAAAACACCGAACATGTAATAATAACTAATTGAGCTAATAATTTAATTTAAATTTCCGTTCTTTGTCTTTTTTTTACTCACAAAAGGAATCTATAATGACGCCTAGATCACGCAAGCCAGTCATCATTATTGGTGCAATGCGTGGTTTGACATCGGACAATTATCATCAAAATTTCATCAACTTCGAAATGGATGAAGTCGAGAATAGTTTTGACTGTGAAAATACAACACATGATAGACTCGACTCATCATTGCAGAGATCGAAAAGTGAAAGCAGTCTTCAATTGCGATCACCAATTGAGATAAAATCAGTCTTGGTTCAACCCAGCACTCTTGAAGAACAACGAACAGTAACCAAATCCAATTCAGACGAAACATTGTCTACGCCATTCAGGTGCGAATTTACTCAATTTTAAAAACGCAAAATATCTTATTCCTAAATGAATAATTGTTCCTTATTTTGCAGAAAATATATGTTTAGTCGCAGTTTGTTAATGACAACACCTGTTGATTCATCGTTTTCGAGCCAATCGGATGACTTTGAAAATCTGAATGACTCGGAAATGAGCGAGAGTTTGATTTACTGTTTGAATGGAAATGAGCCAAACGATGTTGGCTTGCCCAATATAAACGATCCAGTTACACCACGATCGACGAATAGAATTTTCCCCAGTGGTAGCAGTGTCTCTTTCAAAAGACCACTGAAAAATGATGATGATTTAGGCAAAAATTCATTATCAGATCCAGTATATGGTGAATATAGTTGCATTAATGCGAAGAAAAATCACTTGGAATTGGACGAAACTGCTTTATAGGTGAATTTCACAATGGAATTCACAAATTTTTAGAGAAAACAAAATCAAATATAACTAACAAATTTATGAATCAAATGAGAAGCAGAAAATTATCGCGAAATATTACTAAATCTTAATATATACTATGAGCACACAACCAATCATATATAATTTGCACGGAACTGCATGGTCATATGCACAGTGTGCATGCCTTGAATGTATTTTACTCTTTAAATGGTGTAGGAAACTAAACTAAAAAAACGATTTATTTTAAATTTCAAGTCTTTATTTTATATCATACAAATCCTTTTAAATAACATTTTATCCAGAAATGTTTTTGTAAAAACGATGACATCATTTTAAATAATTGAAAGAGAAAAACAAAATAATTTTTTAGTTAATAATCACAAATCATAATCAAAAATTTTGTTAGAGATAGCAAACTGAAAAATAAAAATAAATAAATAGAAATGGACACAAAATCATTTTAAATCATTTCCAACAATGACGCCATTGTGGACATAACGCATTCGCGCTATTTTCTTATTGATATGTAAATAGAAAATTATCTATCTAGAACTAATGTATGGTTTGTACAAGTTTTGTAATTATCCCCAACTTCAGAAACTATGAGAATAAAATAAAGTCGTTGAAGATCTAAAATCACTCAAGAGATCACATAAAAACTTCAACATAAACTGAGATTAAAAAAAAACCAAAATCAAAATGTTAGTAAAAAATGAATGAGAAAAATATCAATTCTAAGGTATTTTTGCATGCTGATTCTGAATTTTGGGGTGTCAGGTCAAAAAATCACACATTGGGGGGTTTTTGACCCCCGACTTCCTTATGGGGTGGAGGACTTTGAGGGCAGGGGTCCTAAAAAATTTCTATCGTCATTCTGAACAACTTTGTAGTACTTTTTTTTTTTTGATCGAATGAAGTTTTGCAAAATGGGGGGAGGAAAATAGAATTATAGTTAGATATACCCTCTGATCAAAAAGTTCTCGGAAATTGTAAAAAAACACACTCGAATACATTTTTAATGCAAATATTTATTGTCACCTTAAAAATAACTACCATTAGAATTAACACATGCTTCCCAACGTTTGATCCATTCATCCATGCACTTGGCATAGGCCGGCGCTAGGGGCCTTTTTCGATTTTTGTTTAATGTTTTCAATTGTGTCCAAATGCTTACCCCTCAGTGGCAATTTGAGTCTGGAGAAAAGAAAAAAGTCACACGGAGCCATATCTGGCGAATACGGTGCTTGAGCAATGACTTTGGTTTGATATTTTGCCAAGAATTCACAAACAACGAGAGCCGTATGGGATGGCGCGTTATCGTGATGCAAAATCCATGAGTTTTCGGCCCACAATTCTCGTCTTTTCAAGCGAATTTTCTCGCGCAAACGCTTCATAACAGCCAGATAATACTCTTTATTGGTTTGATAGCACGATTTTCTTCACTTTTTCGACTTTTTTCTCGGTTACAGAAGTTGATGGTCGACCAGAACGAGGCTTGTCTTCAAAGGTCTCTCGCCCCTCCTTGAAAGCTTTGTACCAATCGTATGCTGTTGTTTTCTTGATTGAAATATCCCCAAAGACTTTCTGTATCATTTTTAATGTATCCGCACAAGAAATTTCATTCAAAACACAAAATTTCAAACACAATCTTTGTTCAGTTAATTTATCCATTGTAAAAAATCGAAAAACGCACTCGGATTGACCAAAACAAACCGCTGTCAAACACATACTAGCTAACATATTGCGCACAATTTTTGCACATATATCGAGGTCGATACTACCAACCTAACAAAAAAATAAATTTGATCATACGCGAACCGCGCTCGATTTAATTCGCGATTTCCGAGTACTTTTTGATCAGAGGGTAGATAAAAATTTTCTACTTTTAACCCCCATCATACCAAAGGGTTTTTCGAAATTCCCACCCCCTGTATATTCTATAAATAGTAATTAATAATATAATATGTTTCGAAAGAGCGGACAATTTGTTAAGGTGTATAGTTAGTCCAAAATTGAGGTAAAACTCAAAATTGCGTTTGTATTTCGAATGCAGTATAAAATTTGTACTTGCAAGTGTGCTAACATATGTTAAGAAAATATTGAGACTAAATTCAGACGTCCTCCGTTTGAACAAAAAACACACAACATTAAATTCTTTTTTATTGGTATAAACCTTTATTCATGGGCTATCGAATAGCACATTTGCATTACACTGAATGGACCATTGTCTTCGATTTTACGGGGGTTTAATTTTTTTTTGTCAAAAACACTAGTAAATCGAAAGAAAATTCTATCCAAAAGTCCATTCTATCTAGTGTAACTTCCATTTCATTTGTGAAAAATTGAAGAGCATAAGATGTTTTCAATTTTCAAAGTTCCTAAACGTATTGAGAAGCTATGGCGAGTGAAGCGAGCCAATTTTTTAAAGATTATTTGGGAGAAAATAACATAGATCGCTGTGATGGAGATACCTGGAGACAAAGTTCGAAAAATAAACTTGAATAAATTCAACTTTTTCACAATCAAGTCACCAAAATCGCTCCAGAGAATGTTTGTTTCGAAAATTGAGTTAAAATTGAAAATTCAAGATTTTTTCGGCCAGAATAATTTCCATGAAATGAAAACAAATCATAGTGTTTGATTCGTGTGCTGTGTGTAACACCGAGTAGGAATATCATACCCTACTATTCTTTTGTACATTCTAATGTGAGTACGAGAGAGATGTAGAAAATAACGCACAAGATGCATAAACGCATTCATAGCTCAAACCTAATGTCTGTTGGGGATTTGATTTTTTTACGTTTTCAGAATTAAAAGGTCAAATAGGTTTTTTTGTGTCCATTGACGCCAGAAATAAGATACCGGTATAATTTTTGTTTTCATATTACCAGTAGGTAGCGCAAGAGCTACATTGGTCACCATGTGGATTTCTTCGGAAAATGAGATTTAAAATTACACCGGTATCTTATTTCTGGCGTCGACCTGAAAATTGATTTAAAATCCCAATAACACATTCACGGGTTGTTTTGCGAGCGTAGCGAGCATAATTTCTTTTTCAAGCATATATGGAGTTTCTCCATATCTTTTCTCCAAGACTTCATTTTATCTAGTGTAAATCGATTTCATTTCGGGGGGATTTGAACCCCAAACCCCCCTACTTTACGCCACTGCCGGCTCAAATGGTGTGTCTCAATTCTATCGAACTGAAAATGGTTCATGTAAAATAAGAAGAAAAAGTTGACAAAAAGATCTGTTACTAAAAGGTGAGCCAAATTACAATGAAATGGAAGATGCGTGTACGCAATAGAACCTTTATATTACATCATGATTTTTAAGCATGTACAAAAGGTAAAATAAAACATTTATTACTCTCGCACACATTCAAATACAATAATACACACGTTGCCTTAAAACATTCGGCGAAAAACGCCAAAACAGACAAAAAACTCAACTACACAACTGAGCAGAATAGAACGTTAGAAAAGAACTCCAGCGTCTTACAGAATACACACACACACACACACACACCAATTTGGTCTCACACACAAATTTGGTATGTATACATGCCTATATACATGTACAATGTGATCTCAACTCCAGCTGAAATAGCAATCGGTTTTACAATACTTTTTTTTCTAAAGTGAGGAGCAACATCATTGACAATTACAGTCCATCAGTGGGTTATTTCCAGTTTATTATACCTTTCTGTATGGTCGATCGTAGTGCTTGTTTTTCTATCTCCGTCATTTTACTGTATTTCGCCACGATTCATGCTAATCGCGTATTGTTGTGATGGTAAACGCATGGTAACGTTGAGCACGTTGCAATATTCAACTCATTCCATATACTCGTTTCAGTTACGCTAGCAAAACCACATTGTTCCGTTCTCGGCTTTTAAATATTGATATCACTCATAATTTTTGTCAGTTCTGCAACACAATTCAAATTCTAATTTATATTTTAGGTCTTTAAGTAAATGAATCACTTTTCATATACGGTGCTCAATCAGTTTTATGGAAATACTAAAAGTCAGCAAAAAAATCAATCGACATTGTGTGTCAACCGGCAGATAATTACCGGATTTGGTGATATGATTTGATAAATTCTAATTTATTTATTTGACCGTCAATTGTATTGTGTACTGTTGTGTTTAATCCATCGTGTGTAAATAAGTGCTATATGTGGAATATTGGATAATGCAAGATAGCACCAAATTCAAACCATTTTCATCAAAATTGTCAGGTATGAATGAATTTAGTTAGATAATATTTTTTGCTCCAGTACAAATGCTAATATGACGTTGAGTTTGATTCAATTGCGAGTCAGCGCCTTTTCTTTATCAAAACAGTCTGATCGACTGATGAAATCGCATTTTTCATCGCATTTTTCAATCGCATTCCCTGTGCGAAATATATTTCGCATACAATTACAATTTTATAAATAGTATTTAACACTTTCTTTTTTTTTACACATCAATGGTGAACAGAAACTGTTTATATGTAATATTGATAAAGCAAACAAACAAAAAACAGTTATTTAATGCGAATGCAAGCATTTTTTTAATTCATTTTTACCGAAATTTCAGAATTCGAAACAGCAGTTCTTTTTTGTTTTAATTAAAGAAAATATTAATTCAAATTGTAAAATATGTGTACAAGCATGTGTAGAAATCGTTTTTAAACACACATTACACATATTCAAGAGCATAGGCATTGCGACACATACCGAATGTTCTCACTTCATCTACGTTTCTCTCTGATCGCCAATATTTGAGATGCGATAAAAAGTCAGTGCTCCGAATTATCTGGTGTAACAGAATGAAACTAAGACATACAAATAGTATTTTTTGAGTGATACGCGAGAGTGTATTGTATTTACTATTTAATAAATATTCGTGTGGTTGCTGGAAAAGCAAAAGAGCTTTATTTAGATGATTCCACCAGTAAATCCACAAACTGACGTTGACATTCTTTAAATTATCGTATTAAAAATGAAAAGAGCCCACTTTTTTCTTCTCTGAGTGCGCGACAAATGTTTATTTTGTTCAAAATGTGTAGATTTATATACGATAATGTCTTCAGTTGGATTTGAACTTTAGTGTCAAATGATTGTCTTCAATACGATTTGGTGATCGTATACGATAAATGAATGAAAGGAGTATGAATTAAACGGAATAAAATTGTCAAAAATAGTTCTTTATTTCTTAATTTTTTTTTTTTAATTCCTTGTAAATTTCTCATTAAAAAATAAGTTTGTGTAATTTTCATGTTTAATGAAATTTGGTGTTTGTTGAATTCAACAGACTAGAAAATTAAATCAAAGGAAAGGTCATTTCAATCCTAATTAGCTACTTCTTGACCAAACAAAACATTTGAAATTGTCGTTTAAATCTCAATTTATATTCGGTATACGCTGATTCGAAGTATTCCTGTATATCTTTGTTATCATTATATAGTACGCTGAAATTTATGCTAAAAGTTCATATGATACGTTGATAATTACAACAGCAAGTCCATACAAAAATAATTTCATATTGCTCCTTTATTTTTATCGGGATTAGAGCTCACTTTTATCCTCATCCGTTTAATTAACCGTTCATTGGCGATAGGTTGTGATCTTACCAGGAATCAACACATCAAGCATACACTTTAGCACTTAACCTCTCGAAAAATGCGTGTGCTTGTGAGTTTTCTTCGAAAAGAATTTCAATTTTCCGATCCAATCCGACCCGTTATATTTGTGCCGGGTATAACTGAGCTTCTGTTGATAATACTGTACATTGTGGTGTTGATTGTTTGATCTAAATACTACTTAAAAGATGTGAAAAAAGCATTCATTAAATGAATACATCTTTGCCGTATGGGATGATCCCAACACATACATACACTTTGAAACAAATGCTAATCGAATAGGCAACTCAATCAAGACAAACTGCACTTTGAATCTTTTTACGTCGTGCTCTCAATCCGAGGTGATCTTATTATCCACACAACTACAGCCATATTATTCATCTCTTCCTGGCGCAACCATATATACTCTTTTGAAAATATGTGAAATACTCTATAATACAACGAAGAAACAGTGACGATGACACCCATTTTGAAGTAGGCATGAAACGCTTAAATCCAAACAAACTGTGAATCCGATGATGATCAAATGTTAAGACGCAAACAAAGTGTTTTATTTATTGGAGCAACAAAAACCTTGCTCCCAGAATCAATCGTATAAATTTGATACACAACACTTCAGATAATTGAATTACTAGAGTGATCAACGAAGGCTAGAAAAAAACAACAAGACAAATTTATTTTGTTTAAAAGGTACCAAGATTCAATCCATGACAATAATAATTTATTTGTTATTAAATGTGTAGCCCAGATACAATCTGCGATCGTTCATGTTTTAATATAATTTTGAAGTTGCTTTCATTGATTATGTATATAAAATATACACAATGAAAACCATCGTAGTTGAAGAATGAAATGTTAAATAAAAACAACGTGTACTTGAATATAAAATATCTCACTATTGTGCAGAAATTGGATAATATTCATTGGATATAGACACTCTTATTTCAATTATTCATGTGTGTGTATGCAAGAAATTGATAGAAAGAGAGACGATTATTCGGTTTAAATATTTAATAAACACTTTTCGCGTCTGATAAGTAATTCGTTGTTGTCAACGTCTTGGTGAAGATTTTTTTTACATATTTTATTAATGCAACCAATCTAATATCTTCACTACAGTTGATCGATTTATAACGCTACAACGTGTATAAAAATCGTATAATTGGACAGCGTGTGAAAATAAATTTATCGATATTATAAGTAGTTAGAGGTGGTGTTCCAATATGGCACGAGTTTCATCATCGGATAGTAATGCGCCACCAAAGACTGGATTTGGTGATTCCGGATCAAAAAAATTGGAACGCTCTGGATCCGAAAATGGTGTACAATTGAAAAAAGAGCTAGGTTTATTGGATGGTGTGGCAATTATTGTTGGCGTCATTATTGGCGCTGGTATTTTTGTATCACCCAAAGGAGTACTCGATCATTCTGGTTCAATTGGGCAAGCAATCATTGTTTGGATTCTTTCGGGTATTTTGAGTATGGTTGGTGCATTATGCTATGCTGAATTAGGTAAGTTTTTATCAACAACCGATGTTTTATTGGACAATTGTCTTATTTATTTTTTGATTGCAATCAAAAGATCAATTCCAAATTTTTTTTTTTTTTAATTTCATATGATTTAGGTACAATGATTCCTCGTTCTGGTGGTGATTATGCTTATATTGGAGTTGCGTTTGGTCCATTGCCAGCATTTTTGTATCTATGGGTGGCTCTATTAATTCTAGTTCCAACGGGAAATGCAATCACAGCCATAACATTTGCACAATATTTATTGCAACCATTTTGGCCGACTTGCGATGCACCAATCGAAGCCGTTCGTATCTTTGCTGCAATTATCACATGTAAGTTTTAATTTTTATTTTCTTGTAGTCATTATTAATTTTCTGATTAAATTTCAGGCGTTTTGACTGTAATCAATTGTTATAATGTTAAGTGGGTGACTCGAGTAACGGATATTTTTACAACGACCAAAATTGCTGCTCTATTGTTGATTGTTGCATATGGTGTGTGGCATTTAATGAAGGGAAATACAGAATATTTTCAAGAGCCAATGAAGGGATCGAAAACCGAACCGGGATATATTGCATTAGCATTTTATAGTGGATTATTTTCGTATTCCGGTTGGAATTATTTAAATTTTGTCACCGAAGAACTAAGAGACCCATACAAGTATGCATTTGTTATTGGATTTTTTTTTTAAGTGTTACGCAACTCATTAGACAATCCTTTAGGAAAATGTATCAAATGCAAGTGGTAACCAAAAAAAATGTGTTTCAATTTTCAGAAATTTGCCACGCGCAATTTGCATCAGTATGCCAGTGGTAACGATTGTGGCAATTCACTTAAAAATTGCTTTTCTATTATTGATTAATTTTTATCGATTCTTTTTCGATTATTTTAAATTAATTCTATTCTTTTCTTTTGTGATTCTCCCCTTAGGTAACGATTGTTTATGTGATAACAAACATCGCGTATTTTGCTACTCTCTCATCGGAAGAAATTTTATCATCTGACGCTGTCGCTGTAAGTTTCAATTATATATATTTTTTATCATTTAAGCCAGCAAAAACTCGTTAATAATTAAATCAATCAAAATGTTGTAGGTGACATTTGCGAATAAGATGATGGGATTTATTGCATGGGTTATGCCATTATTTGTGGCCTGTTCAACGTTTGGATCATTAAATGGTGCGATATTTGCGTCATCTCGTTTATTTTTCGTTGGTGCCCGTAATGGTCATTTGCCGGCTGCCATTTCATTGATCAATATTAATTGTTTGACACCAATACCATCGTTGATACTAATGTGCATTCTTACATTGGTTCTACTATTCATTCGTGATGTATTCGTGCTCATCTATTATGTATCATATGTGGAAGCCCTATTCACATTGATCTCTATATCCGGATTATTATGGATGCGCCGAACGCATCCGAATGCAAAACGGCCAATTCGTGTAAATATATTGGTGCCGTTAACTTATTTGCTTACCTGTAGTTTCCTTGTCATATCATCAATATATCAGTCGCCGGCCGCCGTCGGAATTGCAACGTTAATTACCATGACTGGTATTCCTATGATTCTTTTTCGATTATTTGTCGATTATTTTAAATTAATTAATTTATTTTTCTTTTGTGATTCTCCCCTTAGGTATTCCTATATACTATATAACAATCCATCGTCCTATACCATTTTTAACAAAAGTTTCACATAACATCAATATGTTTTGTGCGAAATTATTTTTGTGTGTTCCCAATCAAGAGAAATTCGATTAACATTTTGGAGAAAATTAATAAAATTGAAGTTAAGTTGAAGTGAGCGCAAAGAAAACATATTAATGTGACGATATTGTGACAATAATAAATATTTTCGAATCAAATAGAATCAACCCATTTCGATGAATGTATTCACAAGTAAATCAAGTGTCAAATGTGTTAACGAATGTCAACCTTTACAAACCAAATGATAAACATTCTTTTTGTAAGTGATAAAGTAATAATAGTTTCATGTTAAATTTTTGAAGATATTTTTTTTAAATTAAAAATTCTCAAATTATTTAAGTGAATTCTCCATTCTATTTTAAAGAGTAGTAATTTAATTTTAAAAATATATAAATTTCACCGAACTTGTACGATCTTATTTTCGGCAGAAAGGCGATTATGAATTTAAATTGAATTAAATCATCGCTCATAATCAGTTATTTCAGTTTAAATCAATTCATTTCCGCTGAACGAAGGCTCATTTTTGAATTTATTCAAAAGACTCATTCATTATCCATTTAGAGAATTTAGAGAAGATTTAGAGAAAGTGCTATTTGCTCATAAGCACACATAGATAACAAACAAAATTTCTCACAAATTAACAAAAAAAAAAAATATCTACGCACGTTCATCGTCTTTGTTAATTCCATGATTCTTGTAATAAAATTCACAAACCAAAATTAAATAATGTCATTTACGTATATTAACTTTTTTATGTACAATTATTGACTTGTTTACATCTACAGAAATAATCATCATCCATTCGAATTGGCTAAAAAAGGTAGTTCTCAAACATTTGAACTAAAGTTCATTTCAAGTAGGTTCTTTTTCTTCCGCTGTACATTTACAGCACACAATGTTCATTTTCTTTGCTAACAAATTCCTCAGTTGCATCACTTTGATGAATCACATCGAGCAGAGGTAAGTCTTCACGTTTTCGTTTTCGTTCACATTTTGGACAGGGCAGCAATGAACTAAGACATTCAGCGTGGAATACAGCACTACAATCATCACACTGTTGAAGAAGAAAATTAAAAAAAACCGTCAAATTCGCTGTGCAAAAAAAAAACACTTTCAAATTAAAGAGATACATACTTTGTACGTGGTATCAATATCGAATGGATAAAGTACTTTGTTGCTTTGACATATCTCACAGATGAATCCTTTTTGACTGCATAAAGGACATTCAAGTATATGTTGACGTCCAAATGCAACCACTTTTCTTAATTGATCGGCCAGAACTCGCTTTGGAATGCGTTGCAGGTCAGCAAATGTATACCGATGAATGTGCTCATATAAATATTCTTTGGTCCATAATTGTTTGCGAAGCTTTTCAATGATTGGCGCACAACATGTAAATAAATATGCCCGTATAAAATTCAACTGTAAAAGAAGAGAATAAAAAATTGTCAAATTCACTGTGCAAAAAGCAACCAATTCAAAGAGGTACTTGTATTCTTAGTGATTGTAGTTCGGCCATTTCGTCAACATATTGATAAATATCTGGATTCAGTATTTTTAAATCAATAAAAGACTGATGTTGAAATTCTTGCAAGAATGCGGCCGCCTTCTGTGAAACTGCATACTTTTTGAAGTCCCAATTGAAAATCACACGAGCTGGAATTTGAAATGCATCTGTTGCCATACATCCGGAACAATAGTATGCACCATTGAAACCACAAACTCTGTAAAAAAATAATATAAAAAGGTCAAATCTTCTTTCAAGACACTGGCAAATCTGTGGGGTTCCAGCCGAAAATCGATTTTATCTGGTGCAAAAGTTCCTTTTACAAAACTGATAAGGGGTTTTCGATTGAAATTGATTACGGGGAGAAAGAGTAAAAATGTTTCCCATCAAATTTTTGTTTAGTAATTTGTAATAAAGTGTTTTGTAAACTGTTTACGTACTGTGTTGTTGTCATGCCAGAGCCACCTACTCCAAGTGGATTACCGCACGATAAGCATGCGAAATTTTGTGAGTCTAATCCCGATTCGCGTGGTATTTTAAATGTTTGTTGCACCATTTCTCGAAGCTCTGGCATGGAAAATTGCATCGCCAAGCTATCACTTTGTACAAATTCAAAATCAACAAAACCGTCTTCGTCCGATTCTTCTGGTTTGCTAGATTTATCAATTGATTTTGATGAGCTCGTTTCGGCGCCATCATTGTTGTTAGAATTCACATTTGTATATGTAATTCCTAATGTACTTTCAAAACGTAACCAAACATCGTTAAAATCAATTTGACGTGTAAAGCATTCGTCACCATCTTGTGCCCGTTTAACACCACGTCGCAACAGTGAGTTGTAACTAAATCGATCAATCGGTGATTTGATCAAACTATTCGATCGACTCAGCGGACGTGACATCGATTGCACGGGTGTTGTTGATTCTTCTTCGTTTGATTTGGCGGCAATTTCAAATTCTTTATCGTCCATTGATGACCAGCCCATTCGTGATACCAATGAATTGCCCATAATAGGTGATGTATTATTGAATGGATTTGTCGATTCTTCGGTTTCAATAACAATTTGTTCATTATCTGTGTTGCTTAACGATATCGATTCTCTATTTTCAGTTTTTGTTTCGTCTTGTTGTCGTGCAATTGTGCTCGTTGATGGTTCTGGTGAGTCTCTTTTTTCTGCCGTTGCCATAGCATCTACTCGGCTGAGTAAAGCACTTAATTTCAAATCATCCTCAATGTCATCGTCAATGCCTTCAAAACAATCGACACCAACATCAACATTTGTTGGTTCTTCAATCGCTTCAACGCTTACATACAGTTTTACAAAAGTCGATTTTCGATTTGGCATCGCCGATTCCAACGGTGAATTGTGAATTGAAGCCGAGAAAAATTCATTTGTTTGCAATGGCCTTGGTATCGGAATATTGCGATCTTCGGCTACAATTTCTCGCATTGGTTTATCGCCTGCAATTTTTGCTGGGGAAACCGATGTATACAAAATGCCTGTATTATTCGCCACATCGATTCCTGACGCAATCGGGTATGTCTGAAGTGATGGTGTATATAAACCGGACAATTGTAATGGTAAATCCGTCCATTGATTCAATAAGCTCGAATTTAATGGTAAATCAAATGATACGCAGGCTTCAAGTCCTCCAATTAAACTTTCGGCCAATTCCATAAAATCGGAATCACGTAAAAATGCTGTGCGTTGATAGTATGGTGCTAGAGCTTGTGAACTTTTGCGCATATTTGAGAAGTAAGAGGAGAGCAAACAGTCGTTGAGCGATTGACGTATCCAACATCGACAATATCCAACTTCAGTATTGATTTGTTGCATTGAATGGATTTGTTCGATTGCAAATTTGTGGGAAAAAACTAACAACGGAGCCCAAAATGTCGGTGATGGACGTCGATTTGCTTCGCTGGCTGCTCCAACTAATATGTTCACCGTTTGCCAAAGAAATGAATCCTTCAATCCGTGCAGAAAAATTGCTTCGATCGTTGCACACAACGATTGGGTGTGATCAGATAGATATAATTGTTCTGTAAATGACAACAACAGAAATGATTAAGATACAACATACCACACGCACCAATATCACTACATACCACACATCTCATCGTTAGCACCCTCTTTTAATTCGTATTGAATCTCTTTTGCATTGTCAGACAGTGTATCAATCAATGATTGTTTTATTT